GAAAACATCCAAGCACAATCTTTTCTTGATTTTAAGCATGGGTGAATTTCATTTCAGAATCTGAACTCGGGGGTGATTATTTTTTCTTGCGGATATTTCTTTGATTGTTATGCCATAGACAAAATGATTTGTACATTTAAGTTTTAATTTACATTTCGTCATTATATTTTGGTATTTTTGCCTGGAAGTCAATCAATCAATCAATCAATCATTGAGATAGGTCAATGAATAATGAGGGTTGATAATTTAACTTGTTGTTTAACTTTCACCATAAATCATGTAGCCAATAATACTACCTAATGTTAATAAATTGGAAGTTAGCGTTAGCAATTTTTACACAAATGTTGTTTTTTGGAAGATGTTATTATTCCTAAGTAGGTTAGGTCCTAGGTATGTCTATTTTCGTTGTGACGTGATTGTGGTTGGGCAGGAAGAAATAACTTAAGTCAAGACATTAAAGAATACGTCATATGAAATAACAAACAGTTGTTTGGATAGAGACTCTTTCTCCAAACTGTCACTGATGCATAAATATGTTTGAAATTATTGGGCTATGTTTACTTCAAAGGCTTTTTACAAATAAGGCCTATTACAACTACTTCCGATCATGTAAGTTAACTTATTGTACTTGTTGGCCTATGAAAATCCAAAACCAAGAGGGATTAATAACCTTGTGACCTAAACAACGGACTAAATATATTGCAAGTACAATACATAAAGTTAGTTTTTAATTGTAAACAAAATACAATGACTAACTTAAGTAGGCTACCATCCAGGCCGGGAAACCAGAGTTTCTGCGTGTATCAAACTGTAACTGTAGGGTACTTGAGTTTTTTATATATAAGTTAGGACTGGGGAAACTTACAGTTTAGGTAATTGTCGCCAGTTTAGCCCACAATCTAGGCTTCAATTTCTTAAAACAGCGTGTCAGTGGCTGTTGTGACAACTAAAAACTCACAACTGTAGTGGGGGTTCACAGATTTTGCTGTGATTTTGAGTAACTTAGGCTTAATAAACTTATTTATGATGTTGTTATAATCGTATCAGTGGTTCACAGATGCTGAAAAAATCACTTTTCCCATGTGTTGATTTCGGTGTTGATTCATCACTATTTTGCTGCCATTGCTGGACTGAACCACCGTAGACCTATGACCCATTTCCTTTTTTTTTCTTTCTTACAGTCAATATTTTTCCTACAGTAAATTATTTACTTTATTAGGCCTGGAAAATGTCTAATGTTGAACTACGGTATATACTTAATAATAACTATGTTTGTAACTTAGATATATTTTGTTGCAGGCTAAAATATTCAGTCTGGTTGTTAGTTTATGCAATGCAAATTTTAACACATTTTAGTGGAAAATTTTCACTGACACAACTGGTAAATTGTATTGTAACTTAAATATTTCGTTGAAAATGTCCAAAACTCAAAAACCTCGTTTGGGGGGGGGGGGGAAGCGAGCTGGTCAAGTGTTAGCACGGGGCATCGGAGCCCGAGGGTGAATAAAAACAAGTAGGACGAGTATTTACTTACAAGTAAAGTATAACAAGACTTTGTACACTAAATAAACTGATGTGAATTAAGTGTACAGTTTGCTCGTGAACGTTTACTTGCGATCCGAGGATATACTTGCAAGTATTTACTCGGATGCCAACTAAGTAACATTAGAAACGCAAGTAAATTCTTGTAGCGGTGCATGAGTACACCAGATGAAACTGCAGATGATGGCTGTATGCAGTATACAAGTACTGTAGATTATTACCAATTTGTGTTGGTTTTTGCTGTTCATGTCTTATTGATTTCGATCAAAATTATGTCCACATGTGCATTTTCCTCATCGTTATTATCTTCTTCGAATGTGTCTTCTACCTCCCAAGCGTCATTCAAATGCTTTGCAATTTTGTCAAGCACTATACAGCCTATTACTAGTTTGGGTACAATTTTCAGCGCTATTCTCACTTGGCTTGACAAAATAGGAAATTACGTTTGAAGTAGTGTCTAAACACTCATTCAATTATTACTCTTTTTTAAGCATGGGTCAAATTAAAATTCCGTTCGTGAGCAATTCTTAATTCATGAAAAGGAGTTTTAATTAGTCAAGGAGTAATTCCGTATCCACTTTTACCGTGGAGGCAAATCTCACCATCATAGTTCCTCAATACCACTAAGCCGCCAAATCTTACATGCATGTACACTGCCTGGTCATTGGGCGCAACACTTGTATTTTTTTCATTGGCGTCACAAGTCATAGCTGCACGTTTATTGGTGTTTGACCTTTTCTGTTAACATATTCCTCATTGAATTCCGAAGGTTTAATTATATGAACATGAGTACAGTCTACAATACCAATGCAGAATTTTGATGCCCATAGCTTCATACATTTCCATAGTACTAGGCAATTATATCCAATTCTGACTTCACTACTATCTGGTCCAATAATGGCAAATGGTTTGCAAACAGTACTTCTTTTCATCCCAATATTGTTAGTAACCTCACTTTGATACTCCGGGTCACTGACCTTTCGGAAACAAATTTCCATTTTTTCAGTGACATTCGTCCTCCACCTCGAGTATCATCTGTGTGCTCATCAAGGAAGTAAGATTTAAAAAAATCCTCACTTTTGCTATTGAACCATTGTATTCTCTTAGATAGATCGGAACTTACATTTTGCCGTCGTCCGTAGTATTTAACTCAACTCAAATACATAAATGCACCCATCCTACACATGCGAGTACGACTGACAAGTCTGGGGTCAGGCAAACTTGCCACTGTGCAAGTATTCACTTCGTGCACAATAAGCTGTTCTAGCTGCGATGTAATCCCATGGTTACTTAAAGCCTGGCCCTCTATTAAAAAAAAAAAGTATTCACTTGGCCTGGAAGTATATACTTGCGCTTATTCAGACCAATTTAGGCGTTTTTCAGGGGTATACTTACCTTGAAAGTATTCACTCGCAAGTAAAAGTAACTTGTTTTATTCACTACATTTTACATTTTACTTCTCTTTTGAAAATTATAAGTACCGTATTTACTTGCCCTACCCGTTTTTATTTACCCGGCCCAATGAATTTTATCTATGTGATAGTGCCGCGATCCTCTGGGACTAGTCCAAAGTGATGTGTAAAACAGTTCCGGGCTAGAATCCACCATCCTGGGATGTGAAGGTGGGACAAAAAAAAAACATTGTATTAAATACATCGATACTTTAAACATTAAACCAACCAATTCTTAAATTTTCACTTTTAATAATTCTCATAATACAATTTAACTAAGAGGACAGCTCAATTTGAAATGTAAACTAGATTTTCAAGACACTATTTGAAATGAAGTGTTGAATGTGGGTTAGATCGTGGGGAGGTGTGAGGAGGGGGGAGCAAAGATTAGAGGTTGAAGTCGGTCAAAAAGAGGATCAAAGTTTCAAGGGTTGTATTTTACTCTGCAATGACACTGTAGTGCTGCAACATCAAGACGAGGTTGCGTCTAGCAATATGTTACACTTCAGTTATTACTTTTTAGTAAGTTTGCCATATCTATTAAATCTCACTCTTTTCGTTATTTTTTAAAGTGTATCTTTAACATGGCAATGTGAAACATTACAGCATCCTTAATTATAGTATAGAGGAAACCTTATTGTTAACAGATATGTAAGCCTGTTCACTAAGTCTTAGTTCTTTTTATATTGGAAAAACTATGTTATGATATAAGCAGTCTCACTATTTTGTAATTTAAAATATTTATTATTTTTTTATTGTTACGGTGTTTTTAAATTTCCAAATCATTTTTTCACTTTGAATCTTAATGACAAACAGCTATAATAATACAATGATAACTCCACCGCAGCAAACCTGCTGACTAAGCAAATTTTCATTTACCTGACTAAATTCCTACTGAAATAATTCAATAACATTTTCAGATTTATCAAAAAACATTAAATTTAATGATTACTTTTAAGTTTGCTGTTACAGGGAAGGTAATAAGTGTATTTTTTGTATTGAAATATTGCTAGTTTAGTATAGAAAACAAATTTACCAAATCCAATCAAAATATATCCAAAAACAAGTAAACTACAACAGCTTATTATTAAAAAAAAAATACATAATAATTTTAAATTTACTGTAAAAAATGCTTTTACTGTTAGGGTTCAGAAATGCCAACATAGGTACTAAATTATTTGTTTTTAATCTTTACAAAATATTCCGGAAAGGAGTTGCAAAATGTTTTGTTTTGAAGGTCAAAAACGAGAAAAACATATTTTTACCCCACTAAACCCACAATAAACTCACAATAAACCGCATTCCCATGGTCCGATCATGCCGGTTTGTGAACTCATTTGAATAAACGCAAGTTTACTCGTTTGTACCAAATTTAACCAAAATCGGATAATTTGTACACAAGTTATTGTGCTAACAGACACATACACACATGTGTATATATATTAGCCTAATTTGAGCGGGTGGGTTTTTTGGCCTCTGGGGACATCAAAACCAAAAAAAGTAAATCAGTCCCAACTCCCGAATCTAGGTCTTACCATAATTAGTGAGGTCAGTTATCAAAAGATTTAACCAACTTTTGAAAGGAATAGTCTAGCTTATTTAAAATGTACTTTAGTTCAGAAATGTTTTAAGACCTATCAATCTTTAACAGGAGCAGTTGTTAATTCTCCATTTTACTTTCCCAGTGCATTTTTTCCTATTTTCTCCTGTTACCACTACAAGTCAAACTTCAGTCTAGTATTGTCCCCTGACTTAACTCGTAAAATTTCGCTGAGATGTGATTTGCTTAACGGTAGTTTTTGAACTATTAAGTCCATTATTGTTGTCCCTGTCCCCCAGTAACGGGACAAAAGCTAAAACAAGGATATATGGCAAGTCTTAGGATAAGGTATAGTTTACTTTGAAACACTGTGGTTGGTTTTTTCCTTCGTGATTTAAGGGAGACACACAAAACACAGTATTATTTACTCTTATTGTTAAGCTGTAATCATTTACGGTTTGTTACAGAATCCATCCTCTTCGGCCAGCACAGCTTCATCTTCGCGGCTAAGAACAGTCCGGGCCAAATCCGGATCACTCAGCTTTATTTCCTCGAAATATGAGGTAGGCCTTTGCCTCAATTGTTTAAAATAAGCATTCGTTTACTCAAGCGTACTAGGTACTGCTTTAGTTTCTTTGTTAGCTAAATTTTTCTCTTTGGCTTTAATTATTATATATTTGTTCATCAGAAACAACTTAATAAACAGTTGTATTAGACAATGGAAGAAAATTATCACTGGGCAGTTTTTGTAATAATGAACTAACTCAAATTCAAGACTAAAAAAATTAGTGATGGCACAAATAATAATTTATCCATTTTCAGAAATTAACTGCAATTTTTTCCACTGTTAAAATTTAACTAAAAAATGTCTCTTGTAAGTTTATCCTGAAAAAAGTTGACTGACTTTTTTATGATTGACCAAGCTGCCTTGATTATTGGATTTCTTACTAAATGAGTACAGTATAAGCAAAAATGAGTTGTAACTGGCCGTCCTTAACCAGTAACAAAGCTATCTCATTAATTTAAAACTCGTACACGCACCTTGGTATGTCCAGGTTGTCTGAATCTATTCTGACTATGCTTTAAAATATAGACTCTTTTATTCTGTGGCTTTAACTTTACTTAATACCCTGCCTTATTGAAACACTACTGAACTAGTAAATCTACTTATGATTTTAGATTGAATGAAAGTTGATAGAAATCCATTTGGGTTGATCTGGGGTGTAGCCTAAAGGATTACACACATTAAGTTCTTCATTAAATTACATTTTTATTTGTTTTCTGATTTATAAACATTTTACTTGGCCCAATACTTTGCTCACTTGAATGACTACGAAGCAATGCAAAATGTTTAAGCTAAGTCTATTTTTATTGAGTTTCAATCAATAGGAGATTCTGATTATCTGTGGGTAAAATTAATTTTACGTGTAAAATGTTATAAATAATTACAATCTGAAATGTGAATACAAGTTGCTGATTATAATTGTTTTCCAGAGTTTGGATTATGACACTTGCGAGAACAAACTTCTGGTCGATGAGGAGAGGACTCGCGGATATCCGTATGTTATACAGGTAAGCTACAATACGACGTGACTGCTAACTTTATTAGTTTTCTCGTTGTAATCTTCAGCAAATTTTCACAATTGATTTTCCGGAATATTTAAAGATTTTAAGTTTAAAACATATTCTTTGACATTTCTAATGGAGTGGGAATGATAATAAATTACTTTATGTCCTTAAACAGAGGATGCTTCTTTTATAGGAGTTCCAAATGCTTCTGGAAAGGAGTTTCTGAAAAAGATAATTCTTGGTGTAGAGTTTAGCATAGTGTTTAATATGTGTTTTTTCTGTTTTTTTCCAATGGCTATAGCATATTTCATGAAGATATTGTGGTGATATTCTTAAGCCTCGTAACACGTTAAAAGTATATCTAAAATTTGTCCATGTAGACGACATTATATTTATTCCTTTGGAAAAACTAGTAGTAGGGCCTAATGGTGTAAAATACGATAATGGTGGAATTTTTTCCTCAGAAATGTTTTTTTGTAAGTGTTTAGTGCTGTTTCTTATGCATTTTGTTTTGAGTGGTTTTTACAATCAAAGGATTACAGTATCTGATATCTTGTAAGCAAATGGCCATGTTGGTCGGTGTATAAGTCTGCTGATCGTAGCTATAAGTCAGATTTGTTCTTTTCTTTCATACAAATTACTGTATCTTAAAACAATTTGTAGCAAATAAATAAGTATTGACCGTTTGCAGGTTTGCTCCCAATCTCTTAAATTTGCCGGGTTTAATTACATTTAGTAAAAACATTTCTATCAGTTGTTAAAAAACAACTGATAGAAATGTTTTCATATTTACAATTAAGTTTGTAATATTTCCTGTGAGTTGTATCACAGCCAATGTCGGACTATCGATAGTGTTGCGAATGAATGTTCTTCTCTGTTCCAGACTGATGTTGCGAGATGGTTTTTGTTCTTCCTGATCGGACTATTCACTGCTGCCATCGGTGTGTTTGTGGATATCGCGATCGCACAGATAGCTGACTATAAATACTCTTATCTTAGAAGCGGTATCCTTTACTAGTATTTTAGTTTGAGTGGAATGCTTGTTTATTATTTACAGTATTTGAATACCCGGTAATAGTCTACAATTATTTTTAACATTCAGTAGCATCATACACATTTAAATTTGCCCTGAGTGGTGTGGAAAATAAATAATATAGAGTTGGTTGTATATTGTTTTCCAAAAATGCTACCAGCAACTTTTCTTGTTGCTTGGGTTGTTGCCATTACTTAATGCGTTAAAGTTGAAGAAAACCTGGTACCTCTTAGGCTTAAAAGAATTAAAAATTAATTGCCTGAAGGAATTTAACTAAAATAGCTAAATTGTATGCATGATGTAGAGATAATTGATTGTTTATCTTAGTTTGAAATTATTAACCATTGATAATGTGCTACATTGACAAATTAATATTTGTAATTGATACAAAAATATTAATAGTTGCTGATATTCTGAAACACTAAAGGTTTTTTACATTATTTAAATAGGTCTATAGTAATGTATATCTGTATTATCAGTATTATATCAGTTATCTTTACCTAATGTTTTACTTTGTAAAAAAGAAAACATTTGATTATTTTGAACAGAGAGAATGGATTATTCTACATTAGATTCATTCAATGCAAATACTGAAAAATAACAATCCGATTGTTCAAAGTAAAGCACCAACTTCCGGTGTTATTAATATAAATGTTAGTAAAATTAATTTAAAAGCCATTCAGTTCTGAGTTCTACCAAAATTGGACTTTTGAAAGATTGTACTTGGTCAAATGTGTGGGGGCCGTATTTGATGATCTATTTAAAGGAATACCTAATTTGGAACGGCAAACGTTCAAGAGCATTGTTTCCCAACAGCTTGTCGTAGTGATTTTCTGCCACAAAAATAGAGTGTAATAGTTCAAAAATTACCTTGTTTTTTTCATTAATAGGTCTTACCGGTACTAAAATAGTCCCACTGTTGGTTCCAATATTTAAGATTTTTGTCTTGGTTATCTTTATTAATTTTAGTACAAAGTTGTGCATTTTACACTTATTTGCATTCTTTTATGTATTTAGTCCTAATCTCTTTTCCATGCATATACATTTATTTATTGGAGTTTAATGTTGATTATGTAATTTCATTGCTTTTTAGATACTTTGTCAGAAATGTCTAGAAAAATGCACTAACACAGAGCAAAGTAGAATAAGCTACAGGTTTTATAAAATGGGTTTAACCAGTTGTTTTATAAGGCCAGTGATAGTTTACGATAATAGGCTTTATGTAGAATCTACCCTATCTATTGCAATTGGAAAAATACTATTTATTTTTAATGATAAATTATGTTATTATTATTTTATTTTAAGTTTTTATAGATATATTCCACTATTGTGTTGTCATTTGCATCAACATTCTACCTGTTAAATGTGTTACAAGATTTTTCAACATTTTACTAATTTAGAGTTGGCTTTAACATTTCACAATGGTTTTAATGCAAATTGTTGACATTTCACTGATTTATCACTTTTGTCATTTCACTGTTGTCGTGTTGCCTCCTTGACTCTGACCACAGTTATGAACGAATGTGTCGCCAACCAATGTTTCTACAAGACCTACTTTGTGTGGCTCGGTCTTGTCATGTTTCCTGTTATGGTCGCTTCTATTCTTGTTGTATACGTAGAGGTAAGTTGTGTTTTAAAAATCTATAACCCTACATATTTGATATAAGAACAAGTTACAACGAAATTTCACCCTTCATGTCTTTATATTCTACTGGAGTAAATTTAGTACTATTTTACACGTGTCCGGATAATATTTTATGTTGGGTCTTAGTTTGAACCTTTTGACAACAGACAGAAATAATGTTTTTATTATTGTTCTTCAAAGAGTTTAAAGATGTTATTGAAATTAAAAACTGCAGACCACAACACATTGCAACTGGATTTCTTTCTCCTCAAATTGGTTTGGAGGCAATCATAGTTTCAAATGCAATTAAAACCTGAGCATGCAGTTTGTAGTGATTGATAAACAATGTTACTAAAATTGTAAATATAATTTTTTTTCAACCCATAAACAAATTGTAGTCGACACAATAGCACAATAGAATTCTGCGTTTGGCACGCATTCAATGGATGCAAAGGAAGAAAACAAATCCGTGGACAAATACAAATAACGTTGGCAGTGAAGTTAATCAATATCAGGTGGTGTTGGTGCAATTCAGGTGGCGGTGGCGATTAACAACAGCTGGCACGGTGCCATGATTGCTCTTGATTGACCCTTGTGTCCACTTTGCCCACATGAACATAAACACAGTCCGGTAACTCTCAAACGTCGTTTATTTTAATCACTTTTTCCTGATTAAAGTCGTTTATGTGCTGTTTAATGCCATTCCTGATAGAATTATTTTTAACCTTAGTTTCTCATGTAAGTTATAGGATTTAATTGTTTTCCTGACATTGTTGCCTGGTTAAAAAAAAAGGAAAACTTATTAAACCTCTTTTTCTAGCTTCAGGAAACTTTTTAAGAGCTGCGGTTTGGCTTGACTATACCAAACTTAATCTTAAAATATAAATTTTCCTTAAAACGGTAATTTATCTTTTCTAAAGCATCCAGTTGCTTTTTTTATAAGATTTTTCATGCTGAAGCAATCAAGTGTTTCTTGGCTTCTCTTTTATACATAGTGTAAACTAAACAAACAAAAAACAGTTGATATAAAATAATTTATAATATAAATTTAACTTCATTTACTTATACTATGGAGTGTTGAAATCGTATTTGTCCAAACGCTTTTTTCAAATTAAATATCAAGATATAGTTACAGATGTGCATGAAATTGAATCAGGTGTACCACAAGGCAGTGTTCTTGGACCTATTTTGTATATTTTGTTCACTTATGACCTTCCAAGTACTCAGGGTATTACGGTTGCAACATTTGCAGACGACACTGCTTTTTTATCATCAAATCAGGATCCTATTCTGGCATCATCAAACCTTCAGGCTGCATTAGACGATTTGTCTCAGTGGCTACAGAATTGGAAAATTAAAGTAAATGAAACAAAATCCGTTCAAGTTACATTTACTATGTCTACAAGAACTTGTCCCCCAGTAATATTGAATAATGTCATGCTTCCACAATCCAACGAAGTTAAGTACCTTGGTATGCATCTCGACAGACGGCTTACATGGCATTCACACATTTGGAACAAACGACTTCATTTAAATTTAAAAACAAACAAACTAAATTGGCTCATTGGTCGAAATTCAAAATTATCTGTTGAAAATAAATTACTTTTATACAAAATTATATTGAAACCTATTTGGACCTACGGTATCCAACTCTGGGGAACCACTTCCAACTCAAACATAGAAATAGTTCAAAGGTTTCAATCGAAAACATTGAGAAAAATTTTACAAGCACCTTGGTTTGTCACAAATAAAGTAATCCATCAAGATACAAAATTACCCTATGTTAAAGAAGAAATAAAGAAACGAAGTGAAAAATACCAAAGAAAATTAGAAACCCATCCAAATTTCCTGGCAGTCAACCTCCTCGACAATAGTGAAGCTACATATAGGCTCAAAAGAGTTAATCCAATAGACCTTCCAAATCGTTTTTAGTTAAACTTTTTAAAAGTTTTTTTATGTTAGTGCACTTGATGGAGTGTAACTAACCCATGTTAAAATGGTTATATAATTTACTTATTATTCTAGTATAGAATAGATTGTAAATAAATACTTGTTAAAAAAAAAAAAAAAAAAAAATTTTTTGATTTACATCTGTTTTAGATACATGCACTAAAGGAAAACTTTTGGCTGAATTTTGAATTTTAACTTTAAGCCTTTTATAAATTGATCTATTTATTTGTGATTTTTTTGTACTAAGGGATTGCTATTATAAACTGATTAATCTAATACCAGGAGTTTGACACTCAAAACCACCTAATTTGGTTTGTCATAAATTCTTTTTAGCCTAATCAAAGTATTGTGGTGTTTCATTTTTTCAAATGGGTAGCCTCCGGATTATCAAGATACAATTAAAGTGGTTTAAATACCTGTAATGTCGATAATCCAATCGGTTGTGAAACAACTAGTTTCGGCTCACAAAGGAGCCTTCTTCAGGTTTTCCCAAGGACATTGTCACTTCTTCTGAAGGTCGTCAAAGATCACAATATTTACAAAACATAAAAAACATTTAAAATACGTAACACGCATGCCTAGGCCTAGCTTTAACGATGTGACCGGCGGGAGTTTACGTCTAGACTGCCGGGCACTATGGTCGGTGCGTCTTATCAGTAACAGGTTGTTTAAATGTTTTTTATGTTTTGTAAATATTGTGATCTTTGACGACCTTCAGAAGAAGTGATAATGTCCTTGGGAAAACCTGAAGAAGGCTCCTTTGTGAGCCGAAACTAGTTGTTTCACAACCGATTCGATTATCGACATTACAGGTATTTAAACCACTTTAATTATTGTGGTGTTGTAAAATATTACAAGTAAAAAACATTGTGCACGTAGTTTTTAATTTATTTTGAGAAAATAAAATCAAATAAAAACAAATAATAGGCTATTTTTATTTTATAATTTAAATACATAATGAAACTAGAATACAATAAAACTTTTATTAGATTAGCTAAAATAATAAAGCACATAAAAATGTATTTTTGTCTACAAAATATTTGGTAAAGATTAGATAATAAGATTAACTTAAAAGAGGACTCTTTTTTGAGTTTTGAGATCGTTACACAAAAAATATATTTGTTTTCTTACTTAGTTTGTAAATTAATGATGCAATATGACGAAACATATAGTTTATCACACAAGCAAAAAGTGTCTTTTCAACCCTCGCTCATTTTTCAAGCAAAACTTGAGCTCAGGTTGAAAAGAGTCACTTTACTTACGCCCTAGTCATAAGATAAACTTAAATTTGGAAAACTTACCTTACACTTAATTTTTAGTGAACAAATCGCAAAGCATTAAAAAAATTAGAACTACATTTTTGTTTTCTTCCTATTGAGTTTGTAGAAAAAATAAGCTGGCTTAGTGTACCCAGGCTACAACCAAAAAATAAATCTAAAACATGAAAAATGTGCTCTAGTGACACACTTGTCATTCAGATAGCTTTACATGACTGTAAACATCAGATAAAACATTTATTGTGTTGGTGAGCTTGTCCAATGGTTGGTTCGGCCAGAGCCAAACTGTGGTGTGTGTTTCATCTTTAACTCATGTTCATGTTAGTTTTTTACAGTTCTCACATATTAGTTGTTGTTTCCATGGTAACAAAATTTAATCTTACGATTTTTTATGTAGGCCTACCACAGAAACTTGGAAAATCGTATGAAAACTGTCTTGTGTTAAATTTGATACATACATTTTCTTAACCAAATCAAGTATTGTTATAATGTAATCATGCTTAGACGCTTTAAAAATTTTGACCTGCAAAATAATCTAGTTAATTTAAACATTGGTTCTCAGTGCAAAAGAAGTTTTAAGTATTTAAATAGAAATATGCTTTGCTATCACTTATTGTTCTGTAACCATTCAGTTTGCTCAAACAATTAATTTGTTTAGCTTCCTAATGCATTGGTTGTTTTGTGGGCACATAATTATTGTAAAAACGAATAAACAGAAAAAAACTGCACTCTGGAATATATTCCAAACTGCTCGACTAAGTGTTAAAAAAAGTTTACAAAAAAACAAATCCATTTTATTTGTTATCTAGATCACAAAACTGGCTGAAACATCAATTTTGTTAGTTGAACAGAAAAACCCACCATTCAGTTTATGTAAAATTTTGAAACATTTGTCCAGTAACTATAAAAACAACAGTGCAACATTTTTGTTTGAGTTTTTGTAAACAATAAATTACTATCAGTTTTATTTCAGTGCACGCTAGATCTATATTTAAGTTCCAAAAATATCTATCACCAATAAAAATAAAATTAGGGTTGAATACCTTTTCTAATTTACAGACAAGATTTGCAATATTATAACCTATTCCAGCGATTAATATAAAACTTTATACAAAATCTGACCAAAGTATTTGTAATTTCTACAGATAAAAAATTTATTACAATAAAAAAAAAATAATAATTTTAATAAGGAATTTAATTATTTTATTTTATTTTTATTTTAATAATTTTAAATATTTAAAATATTTATTATTAATTTTATTTATAAAATATATATATTTTTTATTTATGTTTAATCAACCTGAAGTTTTACCTGAGGACCAAAAATGTTGGTAAAATAGTTTGATAATAGGTATTTCCTACTAATTGAAATTACTTTGAAACAGCTGTTGACTTTAACTAGGCATATTCCACAGCCAATGTGATCGTGTTGGTAGTTGGTTGTTGGCGGCCGGCCAGCTGATTGGGTGGGGATTGTCTATTTGACACACTAACTGCATTCCCATCCCACAAAACACGTGTTAACCCTTCGCTCGACAACTCTCATACTGTTAATATTTCTCCTCTGCGTTTTTCATTGCATTTATTTTCATACATATTTTACCAGATGTAGAAGAATATGAAATTTGACCGGTTTTTCTTCTTTTAAGTAAATTATTTTTTGCCCGGACAAAATATTAAATGTAGCTACTAATACTATCCAAATAGTTAACTTACATGAGTTAAAAATATCCATGTTCGTATTATTGAAATTATGTGGTAGGTAGTTTACTGTTCCCAAAACAAAAATTTCTTTAGGAGGTAGTAATTTTAAATATTATTTTGTTATATAATAATTTGATTTGCTACCACACTAATTTATTATTTTGTGGTACCTACTGTGTATCTTAATTTGGTAAAGACAAGCTACTGTACTTTTTAATTATTCAAGCCCCTCTAATGTTTGAGATTACACTTTTATAGCCTAATAACAGTTAAAAACGGTCCCTTGTTCAATCCTGAGTAAAGTCAGTAGCTTTTTGATGGTGTGAAAAAGGACCCAGCTGTTCCCAATCATTGGGCTTTAAATGAAATAAATGATTGTGACTGATGAAACAGCTGATTATAGTTAGTAACAAAACTACACAGATCACCACACACTATTCTACACTCATCCTTCACTGCTCATAATAAGACATAATATAAGTTAAGTTAAAATATGATCCTAGGTGACTTCCCCATGCCAATTGATAATGATAATGAAAAAGTATATGTACTTATTAATTATGTGTAAAAAAACATAATTAAAAAAATATACCTAACTCAATTTATAATTTAAATGAACATTTAGTATTCAGTAATATGTAAACTTGTAAATAATATTAAAACAGACTATATCACATTGTATTAAAATAAAATAATAAAAAATTTTATTAATAAAACTGCAGCATTTGAATTATAGTCTTAAGTCAATGTTACTGTTTGTTTGGAATCCCAGAAATAAAATAATTTTATGTAAAACACTGTACTTAGGAAAATAATGTATATAAAATGTTATACATATAGCTAAGTAGCCCTTTACAATATCCCTGATCTAAATATTTATTTAGGTAGGCCTAATAAATAAATTGAGTAGGACTAAAGGTAAGTTTCATTGTTGTACTTGAATTAATTTCATCGTGTTAGACCCAACCGGACTGTGTTTATGTTCATGTGGGCAAAGTGGACACAAGGGTCAATCAAGAGCAATCATGGCACCGTGCCAGCTGTTGTTAATCGCCACCGCCACCTGAATTGCACCAACACCACCTGATATTGATTAACCTCACTGCCAGCGTTATTTGTATTTGTCCACGGATTTGTTTTCTTCCTTTACATTCCCCTGCTGATACAGCAGCTTTTGTTGTTTCAGAGTACTGTTATTAAAAACATTTTTGTATAATTTATCATTGGAAAATTGGTTTAATTTGTTTTCAAACTCAAAACTTTTTGAAATTTTTAATATGAATTAACAAGACTACATGAGTATTTTAATTGTTTTGCAAATAAATACTCAATATAGACACAATTTTATTACAATATTTTTGCTATTTTATTTTAATGTTTTTGTGTTGATAATTGAAATTTTAAAATTTTGTATTGCCTTTGTTTTCAGTTCTATATGTTACGGTGTGTTGTTTTTGATTTATTATCTTATGTAGGCCTAACATTTTTGTTATCTTGGAAGTGAGTTTATGATAATTTTTGTAAAGTTGATTTAAAGTGAAAATATTGAAAAAGTTCCACAGACTTGTATTAAACCCTGTTTAACGATGTTGTGGACCAATGGAACACACTTACACTTAATATTTCTATTTGATACCATGTATATAAGATACAGTTACTTACTAATCGTTTAATTATTTATTTAGCCAATGCCTTCACTGTTATTGTTTGTTTTTATTGATTTGTCAAAGAAAATGCTAAATGTATAACTACTAGTATTGTGATCAAAATTGTGATACCTGTTGGTATCTTTTTAAAATGTAGAATTTAACCTTTATTATGTACACAAACATGTGTTTAGACAATGTAAACAAAATAGAATGTTATATCTATACTTATAAAAGGCAAAGCCCTCACTGACTCACTGAATCACTCATCACTAATTCTCCAGTTTCCCATTTACCTAGGAGGCTGAAATTAGGTACACCAATTCTTTGGGCATTAAATAGGAAAACTAAGTAGTTTTTGTTCTGATCAGGCTTTCGGGCACCGCCCCAGTGGCTCTAGAGTTTCCCATGTTAACCTTATGATTTTTCATATTTAAAAGGAATTAATGAATCTTAACAGCTGTTTTAATTAAACAAGTTGGTTCTGTTCTATGATGTTCAATAGCATTCAAAAGTTAATAGGTTTACTAGCAGGCAGCAGCACCATTATTTTTTTTTAAATTTATGACAACAGATAATTTTCAACCAAAACCTGGAGGCGAGTTTGCGTAGCAAACGAGCTAACCTGAAGGGAAGTGAGCGCAGCGAACGAGCTCCAACCTAACAAACTACTTGACCAATTGAGCAGATTTTTTCATGAATAGAGCCAATATAACCACAGGCTTAGTGAAGACAGTCATTTTTAATTTAACACTCTCCTAGGGCCCAAATACTCCCTGACAGCTAAGTCCAATGTTGTTCTTTGAAGTAACCATGAAAAGCCACTCAAAATACCACCCAACCCGGTACAGCAATCAACAGTTTTATTAATACTTATGAAGTTAAACGGGGCAAAGCCCGCGGGTACAGCTAGTCATAAATAAAACATACTCCCTAAGTAGATTTCTCATCCTTATGGAACAGCTGAAGCCAATTTTATCGTTAGTTCTGTCCAGTGCACTGTAGGGGTTGTGTTTTGTTTACAATTTGTTTCTTGTTATTTCGGTCATTTAAAACTCGTTTTACCAAATGAAACGATCTAATCATAAACAATAACTCGTCCCCTAGTTATATAACCAAACAGTAAAGCACAAATAATGAAACTAACCCTAAAATAACAAAAACAAAATCTTTTTGACACTAGCGATCAGTGTCACCGGACATGAACTAGACACGAAAAACAAGCTTCAAAATTTACAATGCGATGAGAAGTCTACTTGTGTTGGTTAGTTGATGGTGATATCCATGAGATTAGTATTAAAACTTTAAAAACACAAAAGTAGAGCCATTGAATTAATCAAAAATATTTTTTACTGAGCATCTACAACTAGTAAGAAACATGTGCCTCAAATTACGGCCTGTTAAGAACCTGTGCTTCAAACTTAATTGCAATCCATTTGTTACTTATAAATTTATGTTTTCTATTTTATATAACAGTAGTGATTTTATATTTATAAACCAGCTGCCATGAATCATTGTTAAAAAAAAATAATAATCCTGTCAAACGTATCAGCTTTGTAAAATAAGCACTTTATTCATGCATATTCTTCAGTCATTATCGCCTCGTGCCTGAATAACCACAAACCTAATTTAGACTCAGATTTTTTATTTCATGATTATTAAATACCCGGTAAGGTAAAATTATATATAGAAAAATAAAAAATAAATAATCCAGCTGATTACTTAAAAGGATAAATGCATAACTTATTTGAATCCAAATTATTTATTAAACGCTAAATTATATGCACATAATATTTGTGCGTGCTATTTACAATTTTTGAATTTTTTTGTAATCTGTTAGTTTGTTTGCTACACTATTCATCTCATCTCGACCTTCAATCAGCTTTTTTTTACCGGTACTTAAATTAATGGAGTTTTAAATTGCTAAATTATTTTTAGTTGATTAGATATATATAGTAAAGAATTAAATGACATCTGAAGAAAGGTGAATTCCCAATTCAAGTGGGGAGGTGAACATTGTGGTTTGAGTAGAAGGTTAGCTGGCACTACGCCATCGAGAGTCTGTCATAACGTTTATCAGTTATTCTTTTCCTCGCTTACAACAGCAAAATTTTTCTAAATTAAACTCGGTTATTGCTAAATCTCTCACATAATTTTAGTAATTTCAGACTTTGTTTGATATAAGCTCTTGTTGAAGATAATTTCTTCATACCATTATAATTATTTAATAATTAAAACATTACGCAGGTACCTTTTATATCTGTTTTGGTTGTCATGGTATGATACGGTTGGACGTGACAATGGAAGGAAATAAAACACTTGTTATAAAAAGTTTAGTTTGGCTTAGTTACTGGTTGTCTCTTATTTTTTTTAAACAATTTTGGTATACTACTTTAAAAGTAAACTGATTGATTTGGCTACTTAATTATAGGCCGAAACATTTTTCTTATAAACAATATATATTTTATTCCTGAGATAAACATAAAAAAAAGTTTCAAAAAGCTAAAAACTATCCTCAATTTGACGAATAACGTTTTAGAATAACGTTTTATAAAAAAGTTATTCTGTCAAAAATAAAACTTGTCACTAAAACTTCAAACATTATTTTAGTTGGTAATAAATTTAATTGGGTGTTGGACTAATATTGCAACTAAACTTTGAACTAATAGTAAGGTCATTAATAAACATTAAATTGGTTTTGGCCTGTTTTCAAACCTCCTGCTATTAATTGAGGCACTCATAGAACCGGTTCAAAAGTTAGCCCATAAATTCTTATTATATTATTTAAATTAATTTACTTTCATAATTATATTTTTTTATTTGATTACGAACTGGTTTTTACTATAATATGTAATATTTTACTATAAAATATGTAACTGGATTATAATATAGGTCAGCAAATATTATGCTGTGAACATTTGATGAAATACAATGTTAACGCAGAAAACTGTAAATTTTAAAATTAGCTCATACCACTGTTTATATTTGATACATGTACGGTAGTTTTTGTTTGTTTGGTATCAAACAATATAGTTTTGACAATAGACAAACGTCTTTATTAGAAATCTCTTTGAGAAGTACATTAACGTCAAAATATATAAATTAGAAAAAAAATTGTGTTTAGAAGATTTAGAGTTAAAGAAGTAGTAGATTCAATCATTTTTATTGGTCAGGGTTAGATCATCTGACGTTACTGCCACTGTGCATTATATAGGTTAACATTTAATCTATTAAAAATTAAATAGGTCCATTTCGTTTTATGTAAAATAATCTTAGTATATAAGGTACTTGTTACTGAAAGCTTTTGTCATCATCCTTGTTTTTTGTTAAATGCTTTAATGTGCTAGGATATTCATATCACAATCAAAGGTTCCGCTCACCTAATCTAATGACTGTGTCAGCCGGCAGCGACGGGCAGTGGTGTCCCGATCGTCATCTCATACCTCAACGGTGTGAAGATGCCGCACGTTGTGGACGTGAGAGTGATGCTGATCAGAGTGTGCAGTACCATAGCTACTTGCGTGGCCGGTCTGGCGGGGGGCAAGGTAAAATGTCAATGCAAATCGTATTATTACATCGTAAATGCAGAAATATGAATTTTTAAGATGCAATTTCTTATCATTGGCTTTATTGTGTTGTTTGTAAAATACAGTTCCATCATTGGTTGGTTAAAAACGCTTTGTCCAGGTTTTTATATGTGAAAGACATCTCACTTACCTAGATGGCCTTTTTTAAATTCTTGAAAAGTAAATATCTGAGAAAAAGAGAATATAGGCAAGCGTAGATGGTATGTTATATTAACTATCGATAGTAATATCTCTTTACATTCTTCTGTTTGTGTATCACCTCACTGGTTTCCTGTTTAATTGTTAGTTTACCAAAGGTTCCAAAATAAAGCATAGAACTACTACTTTATAAATGTAAAATAGAATATTGGCCGTAACATCTCCACTGATTAAGTATTGTCAAATCATCTAGCGCTATGTTTTTTATACAAAATTGAGTTTTGTAAGTTTGAGTGTACTTTGTCATGGTAGATTTTAGTCAAATTTGTTGTTCGACAAAATTTTGTTCATTAGAGTTTAGCCTGGTTGTTATTTTGTTGGTTAAACATTTCTGTGCCTGCTAGTAAACCAATGTGTGACTCAGAATGAGTATAAAGTCAGCCTGAGTTAAAGTTAGGTCATGTTGGACTGAATGAAGAATCTTTATCAAGTACCTGTAAACTCTCTTATCTAAGATTGTGATTTTGTTTTGTCATAGGAAGGTCCCATGATCCACACAGGAGCTATTGTAGGAGGATCTCTTGCCACTCTGAGAGTCCCAGGCTTCAGTTGTGCCGACTCGGTATTTCACTTCTTCCGTGAGGATCATGAGAAGCGGGACTTTGTGGCCGGAGGATCTGCCGCCGGGGTCGCTGCGGCATTTGGGGCTCCCGTCGGTGAGTGATTCTTTGTTTCTCGTTTGTTTATTAGGTCAACACCGTTAGTACAGTAGAATCCTGATAACAATACTCTCATAGTTATTATAAAATAAGACTTGTTATCAAGGTTGACTTCTTATCGAGGTTTGCAACATGTGATGTGATTAGGCAACATGTGTTTTAACATGTGATTAGGGGTAAACAATTTCAAGGGGGTTTGAAAAATACCCTCGTTATTAAGGGTTGTTATCGAGGCTCCACTGTATTTTTCAAGTTTCTTTTGTAAGTGAATGGTTAAAATCATGGTTTTTTAATACCTAAGGCAGACCTTTTAATCAATAGCCTAATGACTTGGCATCTGGGTTCAAATCAAGCCTCGCTTTGGATTGACCAGTAACTTTCAGACGTGAACTCGGCTACCGAGCCAAAGGTGAGTTTAACTTATAAAATGTATTATTGTTGAACCATTATAAAGAATGAAACAGTTTTTTACTAGATACATTATATATTTTTGTTGAATCAAACATAAAATAAATTTAGGAAATCACTATCAACAACATTGTGTAATGCACATTTTTTTAAGTAGGCCTAATTGTTATATGTTGTTAGAAAATGTTCAAACTAGTTAGTAATTATTAAAACTTAAGTTAACACTTTAAAATCGCCTCTGAGGCCTATATAGATTGATTGAATAGATTCATTCAAATCAAACTTATCTCAATTTGATTTAGTTTTTTACATAAAATTTCAAATTTATAACCAAATATTTGAGCGGTTTAAAATTTACACTCGTTAAAAAGATATTCTTCTGACATCTGCATTGATCTGACGTAGTCTTTCAGTTTGAGAAGCTGTTTATTTTCAGCACAGTTTTTACCATTGTTCTTGTACATTTTTCTCTCCTCTTCGTTCATTTTCCGCCATTTCGCTGCTGCCTGTGCGACTAATACAGAAGTTGTCACTTCTTGATGTGTGATTTTCGCCATAAAGTCTTGTACAAAATTTATGTATGGGTTATTACTTGGTAGGGGAATCTTAAAGTCATTTTGGTCTTGTGAACGGTTTTGAGTATTGGAAGGAGTTGCCAATGATGATCGATCTAATTCACATTCTGTTTTACTCACAACTGTGCTTATTATATCATCAATTAGATTTGTTTCTTTTTGGTCAAGCTCTGCAGATTCATTCATTTCTATAGGCTCAACGCACAGCTTCAATTCTTGTTGGTTGCTAGTAAAGCTATTCACTATTGTTGCTTCTGAAGAATGCTTGTTGATGTCTTCATTTTGACTACGAGTTGTGTCAAAGTTAGCCGATGTCAGACTGTCAGTATCTATTGTTGAGGTGATGGGATCCAGATCATCATCTAGTAGATGAGTAGAGGATTGAAGACTCTTCTCTGCGAATTCCAAGTCCTTCAAAATAGAGGCAAGCATGTCATCCATTGCTTGAGCTTGAAGAGTGTTTCTTGAAATTGTTTGACTTATTTGAACCTGACAAACGGTTTATATTACAATGTTATTTTTATCATTAGATGTTACTTGTACTTTTTTTAAAACTGATCAAATATTTGTTTGCAAATATCACTTTAGTCCTTTGATAAATGTCCAAATTGTTTGAAATACGTAGGTTAATGTGTTATTTATTTAATAGTGATCTTCTAATAAACATAAATATTTATTTTTTCACCTGCAAATTAACAGCTGTGTTAGTCCATCTACAACATTTTTCTTCAACACTATTCTCAATACCATAAATTAATTGTCAACATTTTTTAGCTACAGGCAGTATTACATATTTTTTTGAAATGTTTTATTACTGTCGTTTATCCTAAATGACAGCAAAAATATTTCCAATGTATGATGGTTTATTAAAACATCTAGCTAAACTAGTAAAAAGTATTTAAAACAAGAAATTTTGTAAACCCATTTAATGAAATAGTAATCTCATCCACTTACAGTATCTGACAGTATCGCCTAAAGACAAGGTACATAATATGGAATAACATCTTTTTATGTAAAAATATTTTTACTATAAAAAGTTAATTCTTTGATGATGTTCTGTTAATTTAATTTACAAAAAGTATTTTTAAACGAGTACAAAGGGCTATATGATTAAATGTGTCAATTTCTATTCCAGGAGGGGTCTTGCTCAGTCTGGAGGAGGGGACCAGTTTCTGGAGTCTGTCGCTCATCTGGAAGATATTTCTGTCCTCGATGGTCGCAACTTTCACTCTCAATCTGTCCCTCAGCGCCTTCGAAGGACATCCAGGTGAGTCTCGATAAACTAAAGATAGTGTCAAACGTGTGTATTATAGGGTCAAAGGTGACCAGTGACCACCTGAATGTGTCGTGCTAAGCACTATTTTTTTTTAGATTTTATTTTTTCCGTTTAACCATTTTGGTTGGTCATGAAATTAGTTGTTACTGTCTCGTTGAGATTCACAAATTCCTGTAAATAGTTCTCTCTGGCTTGCTAGATTATATTTCCGCATTACATTCAGTGACCTTATAATAACTTTTTATTTTTAGTTAAAGTTATAAGCGAACCTTTATGATGGTTTAACAACATCAGAATCATTGTAATATTTCATGTAACATTTAAATGGGTTTCATTACCTCACCGAGTGAGTTTTTTCAACTTTACATCACTCGTGGAGTAAAGAAGTTGTATACATCACACTTGGGATAGGGAAGTTTAACATGGCGGGTTAGGTAAATACTATTTCTGCAATTAATAAAACAATATACAGGGCTTACATCACCATAGCAAGAATAATTAAAGCTAACAAATTTCATGAGATGGATAGAGTGAATTGCCCATTTATAGCTATGAAGATGGTGGATAAAAAATGTATATAAAGCTGGTTTACACGTTAATGTTCCTCTTGTTTATTTCCAAACAAAATATGTATGATAAAGTAAACACACTGTTGCACTGCTTGATTTTATTTGAAAATCCATGCTTGTTTTTTTCATTACAGTAGACTCCCTCTTATCCGGACTCCTCGGGACCAAGGCCAGTCCGGATAACGGTTTTTCCGGTTAAATCAACGTCCCCAAAAACTTGTTAAAACGGACCGTTTACTGTGATATTCAACTTAAATTTAGGAGAGCATTGTATTTAGACACGAGATCACTGGTCTCAAATCTTTCCCACGAGAACAGTCGTTTCAGTGCCGCCCACTTCCTGCCGATCTAGTCCAGTTAAAACAATGTGCTGATAAAAATTGTCCGGTTATAGAGATGTCATTTCCACCGAGTGTAGTCCGGTTAAACCGATGTCCGGTTAAAAGGTGTCCAGATAAGAGGGAGTCTACTGTACTAAGCTTTTGGTTAACTTATTCTGTATGGTATTAATTAGGTTTCAAGAGTCATCAGTCTGTAAAATGGCACTGTGCAATTACCGGTCTTTCCCTCGGCTATTTACAAATTACAAGCTTTTCTAAGTCCATATAGTACACTCTTGTTCAAGTAATGTTATAATATAACCTCATTAATTCACTTAGACTTTTTAGTATGTATTGCTATCAAATTCCTGGTAAGGCAATTTGACAGATAATTTAATTTTATGTTTTGAAATTTCTGAAAAACAAGTCAATTAAAAGAAATTTGATTCTTCGTTTTTGTTTTATTTGATAGATGAACTGTGAAATAACAAATTTAAATCTTATCTTAAAACTATATTGTATATACTGACTGATAAAAAACGGGTCAAATAACAATATCAATTACAATAAAACTATAAATAAGAAAAAATGCTTAAAAAATTTCATGAGTTATAATAACATCTGGAGTATTAACATACATTTAACAAACATATTTGGTCGTAAAAATAAAAGCTGTGTTTTCTTAATAACTAACTGTTAATAGTTGAAAATAACTAAAAACATGTTTAACTCTTTTATCTAAACTGGGTTAATAATGTTGATTTCTATTGAGGTATTTATCAATTAGGTTTTCATCTAAAACTGATTTAATATACTGAGAAATTAGGTATTATCATTGAGGGGTCCGAAGTACTTTTGGCTCCATGTGTTGCCTCTTTTATGTTTTATGTTGCTCTCAAAACAATTAAGTATTTTTAATTTCTTTAAATGTATATATATATGAATTTCTGTACTAAACTCATACTTGCAACAGGCATAATTTAACTTGTTCTAACATTAAGTTGCAACAGTGAATTTGCAATTATACTTGCTAAAAACAAGATTCTGAGAGAACCTTTGGTTGTATCAAACACTTTACTTCAGAAGTGTTTTTGTTTGTCCCACTCTCAACCAATGGACATTTCTTCTACTCCAGAAGGTATTATAACTTAAGATTCTGTAGAAAGACATAATTTAAGTGAAGTACCACGCTGCCTTGCTTTGGTAAAAGCTGTTGTGTTTTATAGCATATTTTGTTGAACATTAAAATTTCAACTTTTTAACATCAACCAGTTGTGTTAGCAATAAAAATAGCTTAATATGTTTTACCAGCTAATTTTACCTGTAGGCTATATGTTCGGTTGTAGTATTACAGGGTAGACATTTCTTGTTTGCTTGTAGAATTCAGCCCTCTAGATGCGCATTATACCTTAGAAGTAACATTTGTGCATCCATTTATTTCTTACCTGTTCCGCATGACTTTCAGCCATTCTAGATATTGAACTGTTAATAAATTTCCTTGTTCATCAATCAATTGCGCTTAAACTCACAATGGTTTTCCCAAGCAAGGATGTGGTGATTCTTTTAAATTGGATTCAATGTGTACAACTTAGTTTGGTTCTAGCAGACATAGAAGCATGATTGTCATTGACTGATTTTTGAGTATACTAATTAAGTTTCATTAGAAATCATTTACTTGTTAGTAACTCCCTCATTCAGTTAAATTTCAACTTCGGCGAGAATTTGGTAAATTTCATTGTCTTTTCATAAACGTTTTATACGTTAGAACCTCCCTGGTAAAATTGAACACATCAGCTATTCATCTTAAAACAACACAAATTCTAAACAAACCATAATTTTAGGTACCTATTTGGATTTTGTCTTGTAATATTCTTCCTTAGTTTTCATATCTAGTTCCCTCCGTTCCATCTCAACCAAAGTGTTACTGCATGGTAGCCAACTTGTATTTTAATGTATTTTAGTAACTCCTGAGAGCTTGTATTTTAGATTTGAAATTATTTCATTTTGTTTAACAATTAATACTGATAGTTATGATTACACCTACTAGTAAGACAAAATAGCTTGTAGTTAACTTGATTCATAGAGAAAAAGAATTAAATATAGACTGTCAGCCATGCTGTGGTTACCACAGGTACTGACGCACACCGCTGGGAGCCAGAACCTATGGTAACTGCAGCACGGCTGATGGTCTATATTTAATTCTATTTTTGTATGATTGAATTTAACATAGTTCCGAACGTTTTGTAATAACTCTGTCAACTGCAAATTACTCCAAGTTTAACAGGTTATTTTTATTCAGGTGGTAGTATAAAGTATAACATGGTCAACAATAATCCAGACAGTTTTTTCCAAGGTATGTTCCGTTTTCATTTAAATCATCCATTCGATCATGTGTGTTGATTGCTTCCCTGTTTCCATCCTCTGGTTTCCATCTAACTAAAATTTGGTCGCATCATTGTAAATATTTATAATTCTAACCTGTTATGAAACATCATAATGAAGTCAGTATTACCAATAAACTCATAAACCTTGTTGGCCATGTTGTTGACGTAAACACTACCCAATTATGTCACTACGGAATTATGTTAGTATCAACTTTCTTTCCCACTTGTGATGGCTGCTTTTTCCCTTAGGCCCAAATTATTTTTGTTCTAAAGTTGCTCACGAGGAACCACTATTGATCATAAAAAAAAACAAACAACATTTTGTATTTTAAAGACATGTTTTTTCAACTAATGCCTTTTTTAGGGTTCGAAAAGATTTGTGTAGAAAATGTATCATTTAATGGCCTAAATATTATTGTAATAATTTAGTTTAATTTGAGTGTTTTTGTGTTGGCTTGTACCCAGTGCTATCAGAGATGCCAGGACTACTGAATTTATCTTGGTTGTAGTACTGACTGTACAAAGATCACCCAACCAACTAAGACAAACTGAGAATTTATCTATTGTAATGAGTTAATATTTTTAGTAGAGGTTTAATTGTTTTTTATCCCTTTTCCCCCCTGTGTTTGAAAGTTTGGTTTGTTGGCAACAAAATATACAATACATTGTTTGCATTAAGTTCAAGACCAGAATTTAAAATTGATACTGTAATGGGAAGGGTCTGTATACTGTAATACTGAAATACCATTATAAAATATTTTCTGTAAAATATTTTTTCAAAAATGTTTTAAATTATTTTACCCGTGGAATCATTTCATTTTCTTTGTAAAACGAGTGCAAACAGAAATTGATTACAGTGCTCTCCCTGTTGTACGGTACCAGTACTGATTAACTTGTTATGAACTTAAAACATTTTTTTAAACCATTCTTGCACGTCTATTCCATTTTTTTGTGTAATCCTATAAATTATTCGTTAACTATTTTTTTTTTACTCAAACATTTACTTTAGAAAACTGTGTTTTTATTTTACTAACCCAATTGGTCTTTCAAAAAAATATATAAATTTTAAACAGACTTTTATCAATTGCAACATTCTATATAACTGCAAAGTTTTGAACAAAAAGTAAAAAGTAACACTAAAAGTAATGGTTGTTAATGCAATCTGTTTTGAAAGAAATTATGGTTTTACATTTATTAATTTAGAGCAAGCGAAGACATCTTTTACATTTTTGTTTACTGTGTTAAAACCCTGACTCAACATACTCCATTGGTTCTGAAATAATTTTCTTAGTTCTCGTCACAATCTCGGCTCAACTCTGTTACTTGAGAAACCACCAAGGGAACAGCCGTACTATGTGATCAGTATTATGAGCCTGATTTCTAAATACAAGTTCCAGTTACGAAACCAATTTAGTTTCAACAACTGTCGTTTACAGGTCAGCTAACGCACCCGGGTCTCTTGTTCTTCGGCAAACTGAACGACTCCATCACCAACTACGAGGTGTTCGAGTTGCCAATCTTCATAGGGATGGGAGCTATCGGTGGTGTGCTCGGAGCTGTGTTTGTAGCCATCAACATGCGGATCACCACCTTCCGCATGAAGTGAGTCTTCTAATCTTGTACAAAGTCGGTATATTGAGTTGTATTTTGGAGATGATGAGGTGTAGTCTGTATATGGTAATTGGTTTAATGATATATGGGTACAATTGTCTGGATAGCCGAGTGGTTATAGTGCTCGCCTTCTAATCTCAAGGTCGCTGGTTCAAATCCATGTGAGATTGTTTCCAGACCCAGATGCCATTTGTCCTTGGGTTATGAATTAATGATGCTATCTAACAAAACTGTTGACATCAGGTAGTAACAAGACCCATTCAAAAGGTAAAAAATGTCACTGGGGTAGAAACACAAAAATAATAATAATAATAATAAAAATAAAGATCCAGAACACCACATTGTAAAGTATAGTGAAAAGTTAAATTCCATCATCTAGTTATGTTTTTACTTTCACTGAATTGTGCATTATCGCAATAAATCTTCCACTTCAATTCTCTACACCCTGTCATAATTAAAGTGATATAACAGTCAATGATTTTGTGTTAGCAGAAAAATGAAAACATGGTTTCTCCTTTGTATATTTTATAATTCACTTGTACTCATTTTTTTATTCTCTGTGTTGCTTTGTTACTTTCAAACACAACTGGTTATGAAGGAAAATAAGACCACAATAATATTTGTATTTAGTAAGAAATGTATTTAGAACCAAAATTGCTTTATAACTCATATTGGTGGCAATCCAAGAAGTTTGCAGCACAAACGAGTACACATTGGATACACCAAGGCTTGAAAGTCTTTCAAATCTCAAAAAGTAAAATTAAGTTTTAACTACAATTCAAACTTTCAGTGTGTGTCAAGGCACATAAAAAAACCAAATACACTAACATTGTCTTTTCATGACAATCAGTGTGAAATCTTTTAAAAATCTCTTCAGAAAGACATTATTGTCTCCAATGTGTACCAAGTAAATTACTTTCTTTAGTTAATTTATCTTTCACTATTACATTTTATACTCCACACTACATTTTTCAGTCGAGTTCACATGTTAAATGTTGTTTTTTCAGCGGCCAGCCGCGAAGTGTAAGTTTCCGCCTCTTCCTAACTCGCCTTATCACGCTTTTGATTTAAGTAGACAATATCTGTTGGTCTTATCTTTAACAGTGGCCTTTTCTATAAGATTTAGTCCCTTAGGTGACTTTTGACTTTTTTCTGAGTTCTTTTACCAAATTTAATGCAGAAAATATTTTGGTTTCATTCACTTATTCTGGTGCTAAAGCACAAATATTGCCAGGGTCTTATATTTTTCTCTTTGAACCTCTCAACTCTTATATAATTAGAACTGATGAACTGACGAATAGTTGTTAGTACTAGGTGTTTTTCAAAACTTCCAAGCAACTCTCAAAAAGTTTGGTTTGATCAATCAAATATACATACTTTAATTAGAATAATGATAAAAATTGAAGTAATGTACATTGTATACGTTCATACTTTGTGATTTTGGAATTAATTACCACAATTAAACCCTTTATAGGGGGTTGAAAGTCCCAATCATAGTCTTTTAAGATGCTCGTTAGGCAATGCCATAAATATTTTACCATTTTAAAATCAACCATTATGATTTCAAAATTTTAATACAAACGGTTATGGTAAAATATGTACATCTATTGCTTCAAGAATGTGACGGTATTTGTTGATAATTTCATTTAGTCAAGCCAAAAGTCATCTCGTGCCAACCCACTCATTTTAAATATTCAAATTACTCGTACACATATAAAAATCACATACCATTTTTAGCACAGTTGAAGTAAACATTTGCGCACCAGTAAAATTGAAATTATACAAAGTAAGATTTCCCCAATAACCCATTAGAACCAGCAGTGCCCTACCTTCAATTTCAAATTGTTCTAAAGCACATATTCATATTGAATTACTTTTTGTGTAAAATATGAAACCGTTTGACATAGTTGATCCATCACAAATAATATGCTGAAATATTTGCCATTTTTACCTAGCTGAAACTGCAATTTATCTTCTATAATTGCATGTTGTAATTTCTACTGTATTTTCTATTCATCCAAACTTTGTAGTTGTTAGTACTTATGGCTTACTACAAATATTTAGCTTACACAATTACTGGTTTTGTTTAGCAATTTTCACAGTGCCTCTAAAATCACAGCTTCCATCTTTATATGGTAAATTTCGATATTATCAAATCCAGTGTAAAGGCAATTCATGCAAAATCAGTCAATGAAATTAATAGTTTATGTGTTGGGGAAATATATATATATATATATATATATATATATATATATGTGTGTGTGTGTGTGTTTGAATCTATTTACTACTATTTATTTAATACAATTTTAATTTACTCTATGTTTCTTTTTATTTAACTCTTGCTCTCTGATCCTTCATGTAGAGTAACATTTTTTTTTCAATTACACTAAAGTTATTAGCCTAAATCATATTTCAAGGAGTTTGAACGATCCCCCGTGAACATAACCCAATCCCGCACACAATTCATAAATACAATACTAACATTGGCAACATTATTTAGATATAAGCTTTTACACATTTGACGTGTGATCATGAGTGTTGGATTGCATTTTATTGATAGTTTCTGAGGTGAACGTGTGCTGTAGGTACATCAAGGTGCGCTACCTTAAGCTGTGTGAAGCGATGCTGGTGGCGTTCCTCACTGCGTCCGCTGGTGCCGCCTCTATATACTTCCTGGACGACTACTGCCATGAGGACACGGAGGAGAGCCTCAAGTTCGCAGTGCAGGTGCGTCAGGTTTTGTCTTGTAAGAAGTTATTCACTTTGTACAGTTTCAAGTGGTAGTCAGATTGATTATGCAAGGGACACAGCCAATGTTTTGTAATTTATTCTGGCTCATTTCACAGGTGTTCTGTCCGAAGGGGACGTATAACGAGTTGAGTTCCTTCTGGTTCCAGCGAGCTGAAGACACACTCCGCTCACTCTTTCACGATCCTAAAGGTGACAATTTTTGCAGACTATTCATTCTATACCATTTAATAAAAATTCTATGGGGGAGAGAGCTGGCATAGTTATGTGCTTCAATACCCAACGTTCCAGGTTAAAACCACAAAATATCTAAAATATTTCCCCCACACTGAGTGAGTCGGTGGCTCAGTCAGTAGCGTCGCGGACTTTGGGCCCAAGGCAGCGATGTCGTGGGTTTGGATTCTGGTCACTGCCACTAAAATTTATCAGTACAGTTCACCTTTGTACTGTACCAGCTCACTCCTTGCTTTGCTGTAAACGATCCACGCATGGGCGCTTAGTCTATGTGGACGGGCAAATGCAAGGTTAACCCTTTGCACTCCGGCAAAAATTTTTTGGTCCTAGCCAAAAATGCCGGTACTTTGCCGGATAGTCCTAGCCAAAAACTCCAGACATTTTAACTAATTTTTGTAAGCGTTTGGTAAAATTTATGTATCTTCCTTGTCTGATCAGATAGAGACATACTTTTTGTTTCCTTTTATTCCCTATGAAATTCTACTACATAAAAATAAGTGAAAATAACCCATATCAAATATAAAATTATTTTTTTTTTATTTTTTATTATAATACGTTTGATTTCTTATTTTTAGAAAAATATTATGTTTGAACGTTTATTAAAAAAAAACCATTGAGACCATATATAATGTTAGTATTCTCAAATTCTCTACTTAGTTCTGAACAAAACACCACAAGTTCCATGCACCTACCTTGAAAAATGAAGAAGTTGTAGGCAAATTTGAAAATGTTTGTCCGAACTCCAAAATACTTTCATCTTGATAAATGAGGGTTACCCCAAGACTGTATCACAAATCATAACATTTTTCAAACTATTTCTTCCAAAAATCAAATTATGGTATTGTAAAAGTAATATTGTAGAAAAAACTCAAAATAAGTTTTTGTGTAGGGCCTTTAGCTTAGCACTAATGATTGTTGAAAGAAAACGCAAAATGAAATAAAAATGTCGAGAATATTCAAAAAGTAAATCTATTCAACCTCATTAATTTTTACAATACTCAATAAAACATGCCATGCAAAAGTCATAAAAAAAGTCCATGCAGTCAATCATTCAAACACAAGACAAAAAAACTATTTAGATGGAATGCCTTTTCTATTCCTTCGTACGGTGCCGGTGATGAATGTAAGTTTCTCATACAAACTTGTAGCCAAAGGGATACTAGTAAAAAAGTTATCCATGAAAACATGGTAACCCTTGTACAGATACTGGCCTATCTCAAGCAGTTTGTGGACAACTTTGTAGGCTAGGCCTGTGGTTTTCTGTCCAGTACTTTATGTTCCCTTGTAACAATAAAACGCAAGGCAATACCTCGAAATGGAATCGCACAGCATCCACAACTTTACACCCCATTTGTGATGGTGTTTGTTTGGGAGGTATTGCAACAACTGAGATCTTGATTTAGTTCCGATCAAACTTTCATCAACCAACAACTCACGGAGTGGAGTGTAGTACAGCCTAAACAGTCTGTTGACGGCTTCTAGCAGGGGCAAAAATTTTGCACACGGGTCATATCCAGGATTCCCAATTTTAGGCAAATTTGAATTGTCTACCATATGAAAAAATTGAATAATACTTTCAAAACGAGATCGACTAAACATCTTTCCGTACCAGGGAGTATATTGGGAGTTAGATGTGGCCCAGTAGCTCTGAATTGTCGGTTTCCTATTTAGGCCCATATTTAAAATTACTGCAATAAATGCCTTCATTTCAGCTAGAGTCACCGGTTTCCATTTATGGGCTCTAGAATTAGGGGTCAAATTAAGTAGATGTGATTCGATGTACTGAATACTGATTAGCATACCTGTTAGTTTCTCTTACGAATTTTGTTAGGATTGCAACCATGAAAAATAAATAAAAATAATCAATCGGTTCAGAATCACGAGGAGGACAGTGCTTTGGACCAGGTTGTTCGAAAAATAAAATGTCATGGTCAAATCCAGGGTCATCACTTTCATGGACAGGTTTCCATTCTTCTTCACTAGGGTCCATATCTGGTGGAATATCAGGGTCAGGGTTAGGGGTTTCACAACGTTCGGAATTTCTTATTACATCTTCAATAGTAGCATGTACTGTATTCAAGTTCAAAAGGGGTGCATTTACATTTACTTCGTCGTTCAAAATTAAATCTAGATTATTGGTATCATGCAATTGGGTATCATGCAATTGGTTAGTTGAGGGATTAGGCCTACCATTTGAAGCTAGGTTAGGACTAGGCCTATCTGAATTCGAAATTACAAACTCAACAGGCCTTCTTTCAGCTATGTCACTAGGCCTACCAAGAGGCATATTTCTATCACGAGATTTTGTAGGTGGAGCATCTTCATCTGAACTTTCTTCCTCTGATAAAACATAGTCAGGGTCTTCATCAGTATCATCATCAAAACCTGACAAAACATCACTTTAGTTTTCACTATCAGAGGTTTCAGAATCTGATATGTTTTCCACAAAACTGTCACTCAAGTCATCATAAACACCAACACCAGATTCCACTACGTTTCTGAACAGTGTATTTTCACTAACTGGTGATTGTCGTCTGCGTCTGTTATTATAAATATCTTCATCAGAACTGTCAGAATCTTCCATTGTAAACTTAAAATATATAAAAGCATAAAATTTTACTCAAAAACAAACTGTAAACAGAAACATTAGCAGTAAACATAAACAACAACAATGCAAACAGCAAGCAAACACCGACCTCCCAGTTACTGCAGACAGCTGGATTGCGTCAGCCGGCCAGCGCCATAGACCACAAAAAAAAGATGACAAGCAAAAAATTACAGCTATGTAAGAGAAAAAAAAGCATAGAGTAATATTTCACAACTCTTTCTAACAAGTATGCCATAATATTAAATAACATCTTGATCAGCATTGTACGTGTTATTAAATTTAATTTATTAAACATTCGCCTATTGGGTCTGATGATGATTGGAGTGTCCAATCGAAATCGATCACCACTTACCACCTTTTTTGTATATTTACCGTCTTGTGAGTAACAGTATAAGCGTAAATATATGTTTTAAGTGTTATAAGACGTTTCTTTTATTTACTTTCCGCCATAATATTAGCGCGTAATAATATTATATTATTTTTCTGATGACCGATATTTCGGACGTCGGATTTTTCGGGAGATTTTGCTGATGTGCGATATTTCGGACCACGGAGTTTTTGGCGGAAATGACAACGTCCGATAATTCGAACGTTGGAGTGCAAAGGGTTAAAAGAGGCTGCCAACCTCTTAAAAAAAAAAAAAATACTTTGAAATTTAGTTCAAACTTATCTTAGATTAATAACGCTTTTACAACTGTACATCACATTAACCTCTGTTTCCAGGGTCGTACAACGTGGTGCCGCTGATAGTGTTCTTTGTCTTGTACTTCATGATGTCAGTGGTGACAACAGGCCTGAGCGTGTCCGCAGGCGTGTTCGTGCCTGCGCTGCTCTCTGGTGCGGCCTGGGGTCGACTCATAGGCATCGGCATACAGAACTGCTTCCCAGAATCGGTGAGTGACGTTTACACCTTTCCCTTGTACTTGAAATTATATACAGGAAGAATATTATGAATAACTCCTTTCTGAGGAAATGTTAACTCATGATATTTTGTGATTATAAATTCAATAATCCAGATTTTAATGTGATCGCATCGCAATGATGATCATATACCACGTTTGCTGTAACATGATAATGTCCCAAGACATGGTAAATTGTTCATGGGTAAAAATTTACAGATGGCCTCCACAATCACTTCAATATCCCAAGGTTCCTGTCCCAAAATGATGAAATCATTTAAATTTTGGCAATAAAAAGGCAATTAGAACAAGGAAAATTCCTAAACTTATGAGTTTAACATTTCTGACCTTAAATACTAAGTTCATTGCCCCTGAAGTCTGCTCCTGCTGTGATTCCTCTTGCTTCCGGCCTAAGCTCCCTAACCTTAATTAATATTACTTTAAAGAAATAGAATATTGATTGATGCATGAATACTTGGACAGAACCGGTATGGATCATACATAAACAAATGAAGTTGCTGGCCCAAATCCTATACTAATAGCATTAACATATGATTTGGACAGTTCCATTTAAGAAATAAAAATAATGTTTACTTTCCAGCAACGTCATTTGTTTATGTTTATGATCCATACCGGCTCTGTTCAAGTATTCGTGGATTGATGTTTAAATCATGTCAAGATTTGCAGTTGGTGAAGTGGAAGGAGAAAGTTTGAATGAAATGTAAACAATGTTTAAAAATCAAATATGTTGGACATTTTTTTAATCAATGTTTATTTTGCAGAAATTCATTCATTATGGTTGTATTTACATTGTTTAGCTTGTTACCTTTGAGTACACAAGATTGCTGTGCTATTGGTTTATCGTTTACTAATTTCTTACTCTACCATTCTTCCATCATGTACAGGTCACTCCTGGGAGTCTCTGCAGTGTTTGACTCACGGTATCATCAATAAACCAATCATTTGTTGATTAATCAACTTCACTCTAGGTTAATTAATCACCAGTGTAATGCTCGGCCTCACAGACAATGGCCACGCGTTCACTGCTTTTACTAGCTTTGCCTCCTTCAGTGTTTTAGTTTTAGTGGTCATTGCATAGCTTGACATAAAGGCGAATCTGTAATGGGTACTGTAATGGGTAAAAAGATGTTTTTGTTATGAGAAGTTTTAAAATGTAGTCAACTAAACATTGGGTACTGAAAAGTAATTTTTCTTGTAAGGTTAATGTTTAAAAACACTTGAGGCGTAAAATTTTTCTGTAAGTGGAAATAACAAAGGGTCTGCAGATTTTTACGTTATCAGCATATAAACAAGATCATTTGTGATCTATCTCCCATTGTCAAAAAATCAATCACATTTTTATCCAGAATATCTGGATCGATATTCAATTTTTATTTTTAAATCTAGGAACAACTTGCCACCTTCCCCTAGATGTCTAACTCATAGACAACATTGTCCAAAAAATGTCAACATTGTTTAGTTAAGTAAGCACTGATAGTGTAGTTAGCGTATCATTCACCTTGTCCATTCCCAAAATTCACTGTGGATACTGAGATGGACGTTTCATTGCTCTTCTAATACCTGTTGTTTTTTAAATTTTGGTATTCCGCCCCAAGAAAGTGAGAATCAATTATCATGGTTTGGTCTGTTTTTATGACTGAATTGGCTTTTAACAGGTATTCTTACTGTATAGTATAACAAATATCACCCGATAGAACTCATGCCTTGATTGAAAAGTTTTGTTTCTTCTATAGTACAGAGTGATTGTAAGAACACAATTTGATATTAAGAAAGTAATGGTAAACATCAGTAGGCCTACACTATGGAGGAGTTTTAGGACACGAAATAGTCACAGACGAACAATATCAATGAAAAATCTATTTCAGTATCCTTAGTCTATAGCTACACTACTGTGATTTAGGTTTAGATTTTCACTTGTGTGAACTTTCTTATATATTAATATAACAATGTAAGAAACACTTTTTTGTGATCATAGATTTAACACTTCCTGGTCAGCATTCATTTTTTTATGTATATCTTGACATGTTGTCAGAGTATTACAAAACATCGGTTATTTTCATGAATAACAATTTTTTTTTTCAATTTATGTGGGTACAAGTAAATGGTTGTTTAACCGTGTATGTTAACTTTGTTAGACAGGTAAAAAAAATAAAATAGATATACTTTTCTCTGTCATCCTGAATATGATTGATCATTTAAATTATCCTCTTTTTGATAATGAAGAATGGACTATCATGTACTATTACTAATGCATTAATCTGGATGATTTAGTACAATAGTAAATTCAGTGGTCGAATTTTTGGTGGTGATTTTTTATTTGTCCTTCATAACTAATTTTTTTATTATGTGCAGTTCAGTCCATAGTTTGGTTATAATCTGGTAATTGTTTATTTTACATTGTTGGTTTGAGATTTAATCACGCTGTAACATTTTTTTATTTGTCCTTTTTAACCAGTTCTTGTTGGAATATATATTTTCTTTAGTTTTGACATTTACTTTCTGCTGAGTTCTCTAAGTAGAACCGTGTGTTCCTACACAGTTCCACTGACAGTGTTGTTGTGGTGTTGGCAGGCGTGGGCGGAGCCAGCCAAGTACGCAGTGATAGGCGCGGCGGCTCATCTCGGTGGCATCTCGCGTATCTCTATCTCACTGACTGTGATGATGATTGAGGCCACGGGCAACATCACCTTCGGTCTGCCTCTCATGTTGACCCTCATCACCACCAAGTGGGTGGGAGATCTGTTCACTGAGGTAAGTAGTCACATTACTCTAGTGACGATCAAGTCCAGACTAGGAATCTCCAAACTGAAACCTATTACAGTAGAAACTCGTTAACAAGATTTGTGGGGATTAATGAATAAGACTTGTTATCGAGGTTGACTAATATATCGAGGTTTGCAATAACAAGTGATTAGGGGTTAGATAATTTCAAGGAGATTTCAAAATGCACTTCTTTTCAATGGCGACTTGTTATTAAGGGTCGTGTTATTGAGGTTCCACGTAAGTTGAGTTTCAGTTCTCGAATCAGAATAAAATATTCATAAAATATTATCTTAAATACTATTTGTATAAAGTCTAAAACTTATAATTTATTGTCAGAATAACAGTATCATCGATCACCCAATCATGGCATCATCTGAAGGCATTTGTTATGATGACAGCAACTGAGCTACCTTGTGATTATTTCCTGCTATCACTATTATGTCGCTAGATTCCTATCTCGAAATGTCCTTAAATTATTAGAACTTAAAAGAATCATGAATTTACAGAAAATCTAAGGCACTTGACTATCTCTTTTTAACCGACTTCCCCACTACCAACAAAAGGAGGAGGTTCTCAATTTGTCTGTGGCGATGTTTTTTTTTTTCTATGTATGTTCACTAATTTCTCTGTGATTCTTTTACCGATCAGTGTGGTTCCACCACCAAAATAACCAGGAGAGTTTCTATTTGGTACCTTATATATTATGTTTAAGTATAATATTAGTTTCGGTGAAAAATTCTGAAAACCTTAAATATTCAACATTTATTTTGTTTACATTTGTGCAGATTGTTTACATTTGTGCAGAGAAGGCAATAAATAATAATAACATTCCTACAGCTGTTAGTTGAAACCATTTAAATGAAGCTACAGACAATTCTTCATGAAACAGTTGCTTCATATTGATCAATAAACTATTTCTTGCCATGGAGCCTAAATTAATTACATTGAGTTTCTTGCCATGGAGCCTAAATTAATTACATTGAGAAAAATGCTTTTTGTTTTGGTTACTGTTGTATTAAGTCTGTTCTTCTAGTCATATGATTTATTTGTGTTTAAATATCTTTTGTTGACAGATGATTTTTGTAAACATGTTTTTGTAAACATTGGCTTAGTTTTGATATAGAGTTTGTTGAAACAAGATGTGTGTTTAATATTCTTGGATTAGAAATAGAACAGTTACTATAGAAAATGTATTTTAACGTTTGACCTGATTTGTGTATACAGTAATTCTGTTTTTAGTATTGAATATTCTGACTTACAAAAACATATATGTTTCAGTGAATAGCTGTATGATATCGACAAATAAAGGTGTATTGTGAAAACCAAAGCATTCGTAAAACAGGTCTAAATATAAATTAAATGCAATTATTCCTTACACGACCTAAGAAGTGTGACAGTGCATAATCGTCAATTGTCTTAAAAGTGTTAAATATTTTAATTACTAAACATGCATTTGCAGATGTGGAATGTTTATTAATATTCTCTACCCAGTTACTATTATCATATCAATACTATTTTGCCTGCTTCGGAAAGTCCTAGGGGAAGATGATTTGCAATTTCGACTAGGCTATATCTTGATCAAACAAAACCCCCTACATGACTTAAACCACTTTTAGCTGAACCAATCTTTCATATAATATTTTCCAAAGGTAGGCCTACTATACGTGTTAACGACCAATTTTCCACTTTTGAGAGATTGTTTAGTGCTGGTAGCTGAGGAATAACTTTCATATTGTTCCAAAAGGCTTGAGACGTTGCTGTATTTCTTTTTATAATTAGAAGTACACCGATTGCAGGAAACGATGATGTCTGACATTTCAATGTATCTAGAAAAGACAATTAGTTTTTCATCAGGCCTAATGTAATGGACAACTCTTTCTTTCTTAAGGAATATCTAAAAATGTTTATTTTCATAACCAATGATTATGTAACCTGAACAGGTGACTCAAGCAGTTTTAAAATAACTATTGTTCTGTGGAACTTTTGATTGTTTCAAACAGTTTTGCTTATCAAAAAACCTCAAGTGATTGATATATAAAAAATTATACAGTCACTAAAAATCATGAAATAATTTCTTTTTGTAAAAAAATACAACCGACTTCAAACGCTCTAAAAAGAATGAAATAATTTCAATAAAGTAAACTTTTGTATTAGGCAAGCTCACGTATTTCAAGTCGGCGCGGCTCAAACTGCAAATATGATTGAAATTAAATATTGTGTGTGTATTTTGAAAATCAATAAATTGTAGCTGGATAACATAAATATATAAAAAACATACTGAACTGTTTTGTTTATATATTAAAGGAAATATTTTCTTGTATTTTATGTTTACTTCAGAATAAATGCATTATGAAAATAACACACACAAATGTTCTATATGAATAGGAAAATAATTTAGTTTGATATTATGATAGGGAAAAGAAGCTAGTTTAGTATTAAAACATGTTGGTTACTGTTGGTTGGAACATGTTGGTTACTTTTCAAAGTTAGAAACATTTAAATGCGTTATAATCTTTTTAAAGATACTCGTTAATACCACTATAATGCCGATCTCTGATTACGGTAATAAAATAACACTTAACGCATAACTATGAAAAACACATGCAGATTAACACCTTTAGTTATAGATAGTCACCTGCAATATGGACACCCTCTTTCAATTTTGTATCAAAAATCATCATAGAGCCGCGCTGACTTAAAATACGTGAGCTTGCCTAATACAAAAGTTTACTTTATTGAAATTATTTCATTCTTTTTAGAGCGTTTGAAGTCGGTTGTATTTTTTTACAAAAAGAAATTATTAGATTTCATTACATTTACTACTTGTAACAAACGGGTTGTGGTAATGTGGACAAACAGTGTAACTAAATATAAGATTCTGTTCTTGAAGTTAGCCAATCAAATTGCAAATTGAAATATTTGGACAGACACATCACTAGCAACAATCAAATACTGAATAAATCATCGTTTTAGGGTGAGAGTTGAGTGTTTAAGGCCATGTCACACCGACATCCGCCGCTCCCGCCGCGGGAGTACCGAGCGCGGATGTTTTTCCTCAAGCCATGTCACACCAAAAGTTCGCGTCCGCGGCGGGAGTTTTGGGATGAGTTCATTACAATTCGTTTTACATAAGAAACTCATCTTACCTGTTTAGTATGCCATGTAAATTTGCAGGTTTTAAGTAAGGTGTTTAAGAAGCAATTGCATGTTTATTTATTTGTTAGTGTAGGGCTACTTAAAAAAGTGAATAATTATTTTTTTAAATTCAATTCAGACCTTGTGTTTGAAGCATTTTAAATATGATTGAGGATAAATTATCCACTTTCAGCATTATGAACGTCATTTTTCGCTACACTACAAAGACTATTTACTTTTTAAATAAAAACATATGACCATTATAAATGTAATGTAATTTTTTGCTAAGCCTTCTATTGAAAGTTCAAGTTTACATTGATTGTAAAGTTTTGGTTGTTGCAAATCAAAAAAGTTGATGAAACAATAAAATAAATTCTGTTTACGTCGGCAATATAAAATTTTTTTTAAGGGAAACATTAAATTTTCACCGTAAACATTATTTTTGCATGGTAAACAAAAATGATTTTTTTCTGGTGATAAACATGTTACGAAGATAATACAAAACAACATAGGCTACATCATCAAAAAAAAAGAAACATGTTAAATTTAATTTTAAACTGTATAAACTGTATTACTTTTAAACTTTAAATAGCTTGGGCATTCGAAATGCCCCTTTGCGCATGCGCTAGACAAAACTCCCGCCGCGGTAGTCTAAAAAAATCGCTCAACAGGTGGACGTGGCGGACACTACTGCGGTGTGACTTGGCACATTTGATAACATGGTGAGCGATTTTTCAAAATTCGCTCCCGCCGCGGGAGCGAGCTCGGTGTGACTTGGCCTTTAAGGTATGCTGGAAATGAGATGTACCGTACTTTGTGTAAGTAAAGTAATATTGTTATCTCTCGTCTCTGCAGGGTGTGTATGAGATGCAGATCTACCTGTTGGGAGTTCCGCTGCTGCCCTCTGCTCCCCCGCCTCTATCAGCTGACATCAAGGCTACGGAGGTGATGTCTGCCCCCGCCGTCGTCTTCCCCGCCAAGGTCCGCGTCGGACGACTAATCGACATTCTGGAGAATGTTCCCCACAACGGCTTCCCCATTGTGGACAGTGCACATACATCTAGTCAGGTGACTGATTAAACAATTATGTGGAGGGCTTGTTTGAGGGGAGACTTCCAAAAACTGTACCTATTAATTCATTTTTACATTACTTAAGAGAACATCTTTTTGAAGTTTCAAGCTATTTAACAAATACTGATGCTGCATATTGTTTTACTGTTTGTTGTGCTGAGCACAAAAGTGTTCATGTGGAAAGGAATTAGATGAGGGACCGGAGGATAATTAATATCTCCCACATTCACTTTAGCTTCCAGAGACAATATCACCTGAACTAAAATTAGAATGCATGGATATTTATTTGTTCAAACAATATTTAAGATTTAAACCATTTTTTTTTTTACTTTTTCTGTAAGAGTAAGTCTTTATTGTTGTTATTGCATAACAGGGAGTGCTCAAGTCAGTCGGACGACTGAAAGGTCTCATTCTTCGCTCTCAGCTAATTGTCCTGTTGCGCAACAAATGTTTCAACGAGACTCCGCCATCGACCAGTGACGAGCTGCGGAAGAAACTACGGATGTTCCGAGACGCTTACGCACAGAACCAGCATGTTGAGGTGGGTAGAAAAAGCCTCTGTGAAAACCTTCAAATTAAAACTTTGTTTAATTTTACTGAATTTTCCAATGTCATCACCTATGTTTGGGACTTTTGACGGTGTTGTTTATTTGGATTCCCTTATAATGCAAAAACTCTTTTTAAAATTAGAGTTTGAGCAAGAGGAATGTATAAAAGCCGTCATGATTATGGTAAGTGGTTTTGACACCACAACAATTATGTCAACTCATTCTTGTAAGTTACATTGTAAAAACAAAAAATGCTAACAAACAAAATATTGCATTAAAGTAGAACTCCTAATATCGTTCCTCAGAAATTCCAGTCCTCGGTTTATCTGGTCATTTCCCGGGATCGATACAAAAAATATTTCCCTCGGCTGTACACGTAGTCTCCATGATTTGAGCGTTCTCACGGTTTATCTTTTTACTGTTAATATACATTTTTAGCAGGATGACTACTCGGATATCCAAATTATCGTTTTAGTAACAGGTTGGTTTATCCGGCCTAAATGTTATCCGACCAGGGGCTCGTCATAATTCATACCCTCCATTAAAACCATAACGCCTAAAAAATTCTTTTTATGTTGGGCCTAGCATTTATTTTCATTTGTGCATGTATAATTTTGTTAGTATCAGTTGCATCATAATTCAGTTTAACAAACTCTAACAGCACCGATTTTATTCCCCAATTTTATTCTAAACCTTTTACAAAAAGAGATTTCTCCACGATTAAACCAAATCATTATGAATCATAACAATAAAAGAAACTTTAACAACATAAAGTTTATTCTGTTGGTGTGTTATTAATTTCCCAAACATGAAGTTGTACGCTTTAGAAATCAGCCAGGCTTATCATCTCTATAAACAGTCTTAATTAATCAGGTGAACTACAGTAGTTAATAGTATGACTGTTTTTGTGAGGATTTCAAGCTCCCCCTAACATTTTTCCTAGTATTAGTTTCCATGTTAACTAATTTGATGTTTCCAGCAAGGATATCGGGGCTAGACCCTATCATTGTGCAGCCGAACCAGCATGAACTATTTGTGCTAATTTTTGCTGTTTTTAAAGCTGCATGGTGGATGGATTGACGTAAGAACTTTTTAATATTTTTCGATACAGTTTATTTTTAAGCAATTTTAGTGTAGAATAGACATTTAACCACTGATGCCATAGGTATTTGTTTTGATTTATTATTGTACAGTATATTATATTTACAATCTCACAAAACTTCCTTAATTTTGAGTACGTGATTACTAAAATTCAAAATACCGGCTTATATTTTAGAGATTTATAATCATAATCGCTTCTTAAGCCTTAACTTTAGCTGGGGAGAAGTTGACGTTCCATTTCCAAGTTAGGGTTTAACCAGTTAAAAAGAACATTCATTAAAAAACTTTAAAACCCTTAAATTTATGGATAAATTGTTTAAAAAACTTTAAAACCCATAAAACTTTTTTGTATTTACCTACATAAATTCTCATTTATTGTGATTTATTTATTTTTCTATTACAACCAGGTGTTAGGAAGGACACCAGTGACCCGTGAAAATCATTATTTTTGTAATTTTTTGCTGAAAATGTAAAAATCAGTACTGTATAATAATTTTAATATAGATTGTTTTTAATTCCACCAATTTTTTGCGATGTGTGGTGTCTGCAAAAGTAAATTTTTATATGTTTTGTTGAATTTTTTTTCCTGAAATCAATTTAAATTATGAACACGCTTCTGAAATCAATTTACATTATGAACTATTGCGATATGATGACTTGGAATGCTTGTATATAGTTCTACATCTACTATACTACCGTAGTCTATCGTAGTTTAACTTGTAGTAAACTTATTCTCTCACAGAACGACGTGAAGATCTCGGAGGCGGAGTATGACCTGATGCTGGACCTTCGACCCTACATGAACCCTTCGCCCTACACTGTCAAATATGTGAGTAACCTCAGTTACAATTTGTATTTTTAATTGTTCATCACAAAACCCTACATTTCTTAATCACCCCGTATAAAAAATAGCTATATCGATAACAGCTGATATGAAAGAAAGTAATTGTTTCCCAAGCTCTGATTTAGATCAAGGGAAAACAATCAGCTGATATTTCCTTGATCTAAATTTACCTTCCCTTTCCCTCAATCAGTTCTCCATTTGCCCACTGTGCACGCTAGTGTTTGTTTACAATTTATTTCTATAGTTGAAATCAGCTATTTTTACTGTTTATCAATACAAATATGAATATAAATTGACATATGCTAGTTTTGCTGTGTTTAAGCATTTGTTTATTTTTCGTTCCTCTATCACAGCAGTCACTACTGCCATTTTTGTGACATAAAATATCTTCACTTTCTTTGGATCACCACAAAGATAAGTGGGTATTAAAGGGGATTGAGGTTTAAAATGGCATTTAACATTTAAGTAACTTCTTTCATGTTTCAGAACGCCTCACTGCCGAGAATATTCCGATTGTTTCGAGGCCTAGGGCTGAGACATATCGTCGTAGTGAATGATATTAATGAGGTCAGTATATCTTACCTACATTAGTACATTTCAGAACCAAGGATTTTGGTGTATTTTAGTAGACTATAAGTAAAATTATATTTAATAAATATTTCAAAGTACAATTGTAATAACAATTTTATGTCTTCAATTCCCCCTGTAATTCTCATTCGCTCATTGATTGTCAGAGCTATTGTTATAAAATGTGTATAATTGATCTAAAAAAATATTAGATTCCCTTCGACAAACTAGGGACTAGGGTGCATTTAAGGTGAAGATGTGTGAATGATGAGTTTACTTTACGATGAATGAAACGACATATTTGATTATTATCAGCCAGTTTGTTTGCCAGGACCACTTATTATAGCCAAATGATCAAAAACAGCTGGGTCCAATTTTCAACCATCAAAAAGCTGCTGACCTCTCTTGATCAAACTGGCAACCTTCTGGTTATTATGTGAGCCCTAGTGGTGGGTCTTATATAACGTAATAGGATAAATAACATTATTACTGAAACAAGTTAAATAACGCTGACCGTGTAATCCTGTTAATTAATAGTAAACGCTTGGCAATAGTTTACTGAGAATAATATTATTTTTATAACGTCGTAGTACCCGAACAAGTGAAATAACGCTGGAAGGGGAAATAATAGGTGAAAAAAATAATAGTGTTATTTTACCTATTACCAAAGAAACTAAGGAACGTTCCTGACTATTACTGAAAAGTAACGGTATTTCCCATCTCTAGTGAGCACTATATAAGGTTTGACTCGTGAGTGGCATCCCAGTAGTGAAGTGTATAAACTGTGTGTTTGTTTTCCAGGTGGTAGGCATGGTGACCAGGAAGGACCTGGCCAGGTACCGTACATGGCGCCACGCTGGCACCATGGGCCTCAAGGAGCTTAGAGTAAGAGTATGACAAGGTATGTTGTTCAATTCCTAGAATTTTCAATCTCAAATTTGATTATGAATTTTTAATAGTTGATTCTTAAATTCAAATGTAGTTTGTGTTTGCTAGAATATTCAGCGAAAACCAATTCTCACTGCCGTTTACTCTATTTTGAATCAGTCGTAAAACTTATGATTAATTTTAAAACAGTTTCCACTAAAATCTTAAAATTGTTATACAAATTTGCGTTTTTGAACATGAGCGGCCGTTGTCACTGTCAGTCAACTAAATGACAACTACAGGACCAGGGAAGATGAGCAATTAAACACTGATTTTGCTGGCCATGTTTTGGCAGAAAAGGCACAAGTTAATTATAGTTGAATCTCAGATCAGACATCTGTTCATGTTAGTAGTTGACTGGGAAGAAGTTGACATCCTAAATAGCCAACGGATTGCTGATACCGTTTATTTATTTTACGCAAGAAGCACCTTTATCTCCACTGTATGTTTCAGGGCTGCACATCGGAGCTCCTCCCGACAACTGTTTGTCGTTCAGGGAACGACGTCGGGCTTCGTTCAGTCTGGATAGCCAACAGTCGGACGAGATGTAGCTCCGAGTGGATCCGTAGCTCAGCAATACAAGCAGTAGACGGTAGACGACGCGCGGCTCCCATAGAACAGTGACCTGCCAGTCAAATTATCTTTTTTTGCAGTCCTTTTTTTGCTTCTAGCAATCAGCCATTGCTTCTTTTTAATGCAAAGTAATTTTTTTTTAACCTACACAATCTACATTCAAAATGTTCAGAATGTTTCTATCGCAAAATAATGGATAAACAAACTAAATATGGAGCTGTTACACAGAGGCGGCGTTTAGATAAGTTAGTTATGGTAAATTAGTATTACCACATTGGAAAGAGGTTCCTTTTATTTGTTGTCATCTAAAGATAAAAAGATTAATCTTTAGTTTAACCTTTTTCTCAAATTACGCTCTTACCCGGAAATAGCTCCTTAGTTTAAGTGGTATAAAATATATTTTTTGTTGGTCTAGAACTTGGTCTGACGTTTCACAAAACCCAAATTTTATGAACATTAGCTTTGTTTAGAGCTGTTAAATATATTTTTTAGTTTATGTTATTTTGAACAGCTGTTCAGCCACATTCCTTGGCAACTGTGTGGTTATTCTCCATCTGTGTTTGGTCGGACCCCAGCTCTGAGTATCCACCCAGTGACAGACAAATGGTTGTAAAGTAATCTAGATGAATTAGATATCGCTATTTCAGATCTACAGGGTTTACAGTTTTAACTAATTCAGTTCTACCAAGTTTTGTGCTCAAATTTTGCTTGTTAAAGTCTGTTTTGGTAAGTTTTGTTAGCTTCGATTTCACACTTAAACTTTGTTCTTCATGATTCTATGTAGACTTTTAATCGCTTACATGACAAGTTCAACAAGGCGGGGGTCGTGAGTCTTGCGAATGTCAAGCCACTTGTCATCACTGCCTGAGCTCGTGGCTGAGCAGGAGGGCTAACTGATACATACGATGTTAACAGTAGCGCCAACTGTCAGAATATTGGTTCAGCTGAAAACTTATTTACTTATTGCCTATTTAGAGCTTAATAATACTGATTTTAAAATACTTTATGATAGAGAACAAAAAAAAAAACATTCAGTAACTGTTATTCTTAAAAATTCTTTAAAATGGATAAAAAAATCCATCATCAAAATAAAAGTGGCATGTCCGCTCAGCCACGCAGCGTCTTGACTCGTCTTTCCGGATAGTGAGAGGTCACCCGCCTCGCCACGGAAAACATCAATTGAATTGAAATACTCCTATTCTCCTCTTTTTTTAATCATACAAAATTCAAATGTTTTGTTTTACCGCAAGTGAATCATACAATGAAGACTTACTTATTTTGAGTACTAGAAAGTAAATAATTTTCACAATTTCTACATCTTACGGGAGGAAGAAAATTATTTAGTGAGATGATGATGTAAAAAGAGGATCTAAAATATTATGGTTAATTCAACTACTCTTAAAATTGGATGTTTCTGTCTGCGTTTAAAACTTTACATCCTGTTTTGAAACATTTCAATCGATGAAACATAACCGATGATATTGGCGAGTCGGGTTGAGATTAAATCATAAACATTGTATATAAGAAAACATATAGTTACCGTACATGTACTTAGTCGCCCAAAGAGGGTACTTGACCCCACTTACGCTTCTGTTAAAACTGATAGATATTGACTGTCTGTGAATGTGAAGTTTATTTACGATGTTGGATGTTTTTATGTTCCAAAGTTATCGTGTCAGAGGTACTATGGTGTTAAACACTACCTGTAAACTTGTTGAGTATTGTGTTATTTAATGAAAGTCTGTTGATTTTGTGTTAGTTTATGAAGAATTACTGCTAAATTATCTTCTATTCAATTATTACTGTAGGCATTCAATGTAAAAGTCTCACATTTTTATTATAACGTTAATTTTTATTTATCTTTTTTTAATATTCTCTCAATAGGAAAAATCCATCAATTTGTTTTATTTTAACTATGTAAATTACGTTTACAAAAATCTTTTAATAAATATTAACTTCAAAGCTGATGAGAAACAAAGCTTTTAAAATGTGCTGTTCCAATATATTACGTTGCAGTCTTAAATCTTCATAAACTTAAGTTACCAGTCTATATTTTATTGTAAGAAGTTGTTACTTTAAAAGTTACTCTAAGAATATAAGTTGTTTCTGTTGGAAATGTGTTTCTTATATGAAATGTTATCGGTTAGTTTTAAGAATCTAGAGAACTATGTAATTGTTATCTATTCGTATAGTAGGCTAGCGAATTTTATTTTTTTGTGCTCACATTGATTTCTAGATGAAGAATCTTCATGTACAGTTGTAGTGATGGATATATAAATATCACATGTATTAAACTATTATATAAAAGTATTTTGAAGGACTTTATGTACGTAGAGCTGTTAATAACTCTTAGAAAAGTAAATTTTAAGTATTTTTTTCAAGTGGGATCACTGGCTTGGTCAGAGCACATTGGACCAGGGCTGCCAACCGTGATGGATAGAATCATTTCAGACCATTCCATTAACAATAAATAAGCAGACAGTTTGGTTGACAAGGTCGGCAACCCTGGTCGTAGATCCCGCCAACTGACTGTGCCTATAGCTAGTGTTTTTTTTTTGAGGACCAACCAGCCTTCTATTGTGGCAAGCTCACTGTTTATAAATTTTGTTTCGATCGTTATGTTTTAGGTCCCATTTGTTACAAAATGTTTTTCTTGCGATCGTTAAAAAGCAGGTTGTGATCGGGTTACACTCGCCAGCTGTGATTAATCTTGAAAGATTATTTTGATTCTATTGACGTTGTAACTGTAGGGAGGTAAATTAAAAGCTTCGAATTTAGCATGAAAAATCTTGCATAAAGACATAAATGTGCCAAAGTTCATTTTCAAGTGTTTTTATTATTAGTCAATACTTAACAGTGATAACATATTTGATTAGCCTAAATAATTTTTTACGTATGCGAGTTTCGATTGCAACAAAGACATCGTCATTTTTAGATGTTTAGTTTTAAATTTCCCTTTAGAATCATTTTGCCTTTTGTATAAATCAAAAGTTGTGTTGTGCTCAATTTTAATATTTAGTTAAACATTAGTGACTGTAAATGTTATTAATGTACCTTAGCATCGCATGAAAGATAAGGTGATCTATTGTTTGAATTAATTAGTTCAGGAAGCTATAGCGTTTAATTGTTACCTTTCAATGTCGTCATTTTGAGAATGTAAGAAGCATTGTTCTTTTATAAGTTTCATGGTTCAAAGATGCTCGGCCTTAATATATTTTGTCTTTAAATGGGTTTTTCTCAAGTTTTTTACAGATTTTTGCTTATTGATCGCTAATAAGTAAAGAGCTGCAATTTAATTAATTGCTTTTACTAAAAATGTAACTGTAATAGTACCTCATAAGATCTTAAATTCTCTTAACTTGTTTTTTACATTTTTCCTAAAAAAGAGGCCTTCCACTTCATTTGATTTCAATGTTGAAAAACATTTTAAAATCTTATTCATCTTGTGATACTCCTCTTCCATTAAACCGTGTCACTTTGGTATGCTCTTTCCTTTCTTCCAGTACGATATTGTGCCAATATGTACCTTGTTTTCCAGCAGGTAATTCTTCAGAACTAAGTTACTCAGAAAAACTTGAACGTAATTTGCATAATGTTTCTGTACAAATTGGAGTATGAATTTTCTTTTGCAATTTTAAATTAATTTTTAGTAGATTCTCCATTGTTTGACATCCTTCAGTAAGACACATATATAACAACTCGACAGATATTTCCATTAATGCATGAAGTGAACACTACAATGCACGGTGAATATGTGAATGCTATAGCTGGCAGTGCCGGCCTAACATGGAGGAAAAGTGTGCTGAAAAAATCAAAATGTGTTGTGAAACATATTTTCATTCAAATCAATTTTCCCTTAATTTAATAACAATAAGATTTTACAATATTACATCTGTAATTTAAAAACTTCTGCAATTCTCTACTTTCTACTTGTTACATCCTAATAACTAAGGGCCTAAAATTTGCAAAGAAAATAACCCAAGATGCAGAAATGTGTCTTTTTTGTAGCATGTTCTTTTTTTTCAGTTACTGAATGATTACCGGCTAGATATTTTAGTTTAGGTGAAGATTGCACTTTAGTTACTCTAGTCGCACCTCCCTTACTACCAAATCTTACTAACTTTCCTCATTTGCACCTTCAGTCTTCCAGTTTTAGTGAGTTAAAGAGTAAAAGTATAATTTTAACTACATAGTATTAATCTATATGATATATATTTTAAATAGGCTAATATATTATGCTGTAGAAGTATTTTTCTGCTTCAAAACTTTAGAAAATATATTAACACCGCAAGCTTCTTTGACTTGGTAACCAAATAATTTGTATGTTTTTGTAATGTGTAACTGAGATCGATTTAGGTTTGCAAAGACGTTTGTTCTTGATTTGTTAGAAATGATTTAGGTTTTAAATTTCATAGTAAATGTATTCAGATTTTTTTTTCTCAAAGTACCATACTCCATTTCAGTGTTCAAACTGTGTTTTTTTTTTTTTTATTATTATTTGTGTCATGTTTATTCATACATTTTTTCTATCTAACTATACGACCTTGGCTATTACTTGAAATTAAACAATTTCAACAACTGTGTAAGCCAAAAAGATCACAGTTACACACAATAAGTTAAGTTTAGTCTAGATGTAGATTAAGTTTCGGAAGTTCGGTGGAAGTTACAGGCCTAATATTCTCGTACACTGATTTTGTTGTTATTTTTTATATAAGATAAAATTTTACAAAAAAATTGTGAGGGAGTGAATGCAACGCCTTTGGGCTATTGTTGAATATTGTGATCATTTTTCTGTGTTACCATAATATATTCAATGTCGCTAGCGTAAGACGCGGTACCTAGGGATTTTTCGCTGTTAGATTAGGTTAGGTGCACAAATCGTTCCATTTTAACGTTAAGGTTATCGACGTTCATTTTCCTAAGCACTTTCTGTTCAAGGCTACTCTAGTGAAATCACATAAGTTTACAATGTATTTTTTCTATTTTTAAAATTTATTCAATGGTTGATTGAAGAGTATTTAGGTGATTAGTCCAAACATGTCTTTTCTTACTGAACGAAGATTAAGTACCCGTGTAGATTTCTCACTATACTTTAACTTAATATAATAGGCTCAAATTGGATGAAAAAATTAAATAATATGTATGGAATAAATTATTATCACAAAAAATACAAACACATGTTTGGACTCAGATAAGTATCGCAAAGGCA